GGGGACTTCTTCGCGTCCGTCGATCTCCGGGACGCTTATTTCCATCTCTCAGTCAGGAAACATCACAGACGCTTCCTGGCCTTCAGGGTAGCGGGACAGTCATACAATTTCAATGTCCTCCCCTTCGGTCTCGTGACGGCACCGAGGACCTTCACGAAATGCATGTCGGTGGTCGCAGCAGCCCTCAGAAGGGAAAAAATCCGGATTTTCCCTTATTTAGATGACTGGTTGTTGGCAGCACGCTCACCGGACCTTCTGCGGGCGCAGGTGGCAAGGACACTTTCCCTCCTCGAGGACCTGGGCCTCCAGTTGAACGAGGAAAAATCCCACCTCGAGCCCACCACTTGCATAAAGTTCATCGGCGCCATGTTCGATTCTCTCTCCCAGACGGTCTTCCTTCCAGAGGAGAGATTCAGGGCTCTTCGGGCCGAAACACTGAAGGTGCGTCGCTCCCGAGTGGTCTCGGCGAAGCAAATACAAGTCCTCCTCGGGCACATGGCCTCCACGGTGATGGTGACACCGTTAGCAAGGCTCCGCTTCCGTCCCCTCCAGAGGTGGTTCTTGGACCACTTCAACCCCATGCGGGACAGTGCCGCAAAGCGTCTGCTGGTACCGAGGTCGGTAAAGGACTCACTGGCCTGGTGGACGAGATGCGAACATGTCTGCAAGGGCATTTCCTTTCATCCAGAACCCCCGCCGTCACGATCACGACGGACGCCTCGATGTTCGCATGGGGATGCCATACAGGAGACCTCTCAGTTCACGATCTCTGGTCCTCACAAGAAAGACAGTGCCACATAAACTACTTAGAGCTGCTGGCAATATTCAAGGCCTTGAAATCATTTGCCCTCCTGATCACCGGGAAATCTGTCCAGATTCTGACGGACAACACGGTGGCAATGTTCTACGTGAACAAGCAGGGAGGAACGGGCTCGAGGAAACTCCTCGCACTATCGATGGAACTTTGGGACTGGTGCGTGGCCAGGTCGGTGTCGATATCAGCAATACACCTCCCGGGCGAGATCAACACCGAGGCCGACGCGCTCAGCAGAACCAGAGCAACGTCTCACGAGTGGAGGTTGAACCCCGATGTGCTGGCAAAGATCTTCGAGGAATGGGGCCTTCCAGTCGCAGATCTCTTCGCGTCGCCGCAAAACGCTCAGCTCCCTCAGTTCGGTGCTCGACTTGCTCCGAACACGGTACCGGGATGTCTCGGAGACGCGTTCCTGTTAGACTGGTCAAGACATCTGCTCTACCTTTCCCTCCTTTCCCGCTCATCCCGAGGGTGATCGAAAGGATCCAGTCGGCGCAAACGAACTGCATCTTGGTGGCGCCGGAATGGCCACGACAACCGTGGTTCTCGGTCCTGCTCCAGTTGTCCGAGGGGCGGATGAAACGCCTTCCACTTTGACAAGATCTGCTCTCCCGAGAGGACGGTCAGCTTCTCCACCCCGACCTCGCTTCTCTGCATCTTTCGGCGTGGAGGATCCAGTTCTAAGAGCCCTGTGCCCAGGAGTCCTTCCGATCCTGGAGGCAGCCCATAAGCCAGCGACCAAGAAGTGCTACTCGGCGTGCCTCAACCGCTTCCAGGCCTTCCTTGTCGAGAAGGGCCTAGACGACCATCGACCTTCGGTACCGACAATCCTCTCGTTCTTGCTGCACCTTACCGAACGAGGTTTGTCACTATCGTCGCTCAAGTCCCACTTGGCGGCCATCTCATGGCAGCTGCAGCGGACAGGTGAAGCCTCCTTGTTTAAGGACAGCTCCGTGAAATCCTTTTTGCGGGGTTTCAACAACTTGCATCCCCCGGTTCATTCTCCAACCCCGGGATGGGACCTCGACCTCGTGCTAGCTCGGCTTGCACAACCACCATTCGAGCCATTGGCGTCGATCGATCTTCGGCTTTTGTCGTGGAAGGTGGCCTTTCTGGTCGCTATCACCTCAGCACGACGACCGTCGGAGCTCGCGGCATTGCGGGTGGACGAACCTTACTTTGTTGTCCACGAGGATAGAGCAGTTTCTGCACAGATGTGACATTCCTCCCTAAGGTCGTGTCCCCCTTCCATGTTAATGAGGACATTATCCTTCCCTCCTTGTGTCAGTTCCCCTCTACCCCGGAGGAGAAGAGACTTCATATGCTCGATGTGCGGAGAGCATTGCTGTGTTATAAGGACAGGACTGCTCAGTCTCGAAGGACTCAGAGACTCTTTGTTGCATATGCCCCTGATAAGGTGGGCCTGCCGATCACGGCGCAACGCTTGTCACACTGGATTACATCGACCATCGAGCTTTGTTACCAGTTGGCTCGCAGGCAACCCCCCTCGGTCGTCCGGGCTCGGTTGACCAGGGCTATGGCGGCTTCAACAGCCTTTCTTAAGGGGATTCCCCTGGACGCTATTTGCAAGGCGGCCATTTGGAAGAATCCTCAGACATTTGTCTCGCATTATAGACTGAACACCAGGTATACACCTGACATGGCCTTTGGGAGGGCAATTCTGGGCTCATGCCCGCCTTGAACTTTGGAGTGTTTGTGTGCCTTATCGGTACCGAGTGTTTCTTCGATACCGTGTGTTATTGTAAACGTTTTTGCCATGTTATGACTTGAACCCGAGTGTTGGCCGGTGCTAGTGAATGTAATTGCACCTTTGCACTTGATACCGTTTTTTGCCTGGGGCACAGGCAACCATTGCACTATACCCTAATGGGCTCATCAGGGATATTTTTGTGTCATTATCAATGGCTTTACCTGCAAATGGTTTTTTTGCACTTGTTAACGACCTGTTTTGTGTAACCACTTGATGTGCCCTCATTGTTATGAGTGTCTGCAGTAATCACCATGTTATTTATCAAGGGTCACGAGTTTATTCAATTGTTGGTCACCCTCACGTGACCGGGAGGATCACGTACTCCCTTAAGTTTTATGCACTGTGCCCTTCCTTGGAAGTGATTGCAATCTCTTGTTATGCACTATGCCCTTCTTCGGAAGTGATTACAAGCTCTTGTTGGTAACTGTTTTGCACTAAATAAAATTGTTTGGCCCTTGACTTCAATGGTCGGTTTGCTTCCTTCCCGCCTCCGGGACCTGAGCTTGCTAGTCTCCACAAGTGTGCATTCGCAGAGACCACGAAGAAAAATGGTAGGTTACATACCTGTGACCATCTTTCTTCGAGTGGTGCTCTGCGAATTCACACTAACCCGCCCGGCCTCCCCTCTAGCAAACCTCCAATTTCTCGCTACCGTAGCGGCGTAGGAATTGGATCGGTGTGCGCGGGGCGCCCTTTTATCCCCTGCCGGGGCTGGGCGGGGTTACCGCCAAAACTTGAAAGTTTTTGAAAAGTAGAAGTTTCCGTTGGAGCCCGCGCAGGCGCAGTCTCTCCACAAGTGTGAATTCGCAGAGCACCACTCGAAGAAAGATGGTCACAGGTATGTAACCTACCAATTCTTGTCTTATCTTTACTTATTGTATCTGGTTCCTCATATAGCTAGTATTTGTAAGATAACAAAGGGTTAATTGTTTTCTTACAAATCCTGGCTTTAAGAAGAACAACAAACCAGGGTCTTCATACCGGTAAACTTTACTCCCTTGCATGAATTGGCTGCAGACACTAGTACAAAATTCATCCAAGGTAAGATAATAATCCTAGTTCTCTTTATGCATAAATACTGCTAGTAGTCTAAAAGAAAGCCCTAAAATAACAAGAGGGGGACTCTTCTATTGACAAAATAATGTAAGGATTATATCAGGCAAGCTTCTATCAGAAGGGTTTTCCACAGCCAGCATATAAGGCTACACTAGTAGCCATAAAGTTTGAACTTGAATACTTGCTATAGAATTCAGACTATTTCTTCTTGAATTATTATTTAAAGAAAATACTAAAATGTTTTCTGTTTACAAATAATCACATTAACTAGAGTTAACTTATGAAATACTAAATTATACAACAAAAGAAAGGCCTAAGCAACATTTCTTTTCAATAAGTACTAGATTCTTATCTTTCCAAGATAGCTTTAATCAAGCCAGATACCAACCTGTCCATTGCTGGTCACAGATGAGTTTTCAAACAAGAAATAGGCACCAAAGAAAAAGACCATCGCATCAAATACTCCCAAGAATGTCCAGTAAATGAATACACGCCAGCGTAGATGGGCATTCTTGGCAACATCCCTGAATAATGACAGATAGTGATGTTTAAATCCTAAAGTAAACGAATAGCCATTTTAATATGTTTCCTGGGTGACAGAAATGATATGTTTGTATATATTCTTCCCAGAATGTATCCTACACTACTTGCTTACACTCTGTTTGGAGAAAATGATACAGTTTTCCATTTTAGAATACGAGAATATATCTGGTCAAGTAGTAGTAAACATCTTAAATAATAAAAAGCAACACTAGAGGTCTCCAAAACATTTGTTTTAATCTCAAAAGGGAATTCTTTGTAAAGTGAAACAGCTAATGCTGATTTTAAAATTGAACACAGAACCTTAATTATTCGAGTTCTAATTCAGAATTTACATATACCAACTACATTAGTGAGGTCATTTACTCAACATAGATCCCACAGGTTTCTACCTTGTGGCTAAAAAAAAAAATCACATTTTTGGTTGTTTTTATTTGTAATTTTCTCAATTTTGTAAGCTGGGGAAAAGACAGGATATAAATAGTGTGATAAATGGGTGGACAGACATATTAACTACTGAAAGTACTGAACCTATTTTGGAAACCTTGGATAATTCCTGGTTAAACCCCAAAGCAGATTTATCACTCCATATATTTGAAGCTATAGCTGTAACATAAAGTTGTAATACTTTCCCAGATATCATTTAAAAATGATTCAGACAAAGCACATTTTAAATGAGGAAACAAAGAGAAACAATCTCAGTGCTAGTGCTACCACTAGTCCTCAACACTGGACAGATGGAGGCACTCAAATCTTGCTGTCTTCTTGTTTAGTGGGAGAAACTCTTTCTTCCTTGTAGTGGTTTTGTTAGCATATAGTGGTGATGATGTTGATATCATCATCATCATCATCATTCAACCATTATGACTATGGTGTATTACAAATTTTGAAGATGCTGTATTCTCATATTTATATATGTACTATTTTATTCCAAAATGTACCTTTATTTCTCTCTGTGCCTGCTTACTATCCAACACAGTAATTTGAATCATGACTAATTTTCACTGGAATACTATGACACTTTGCCCAACAGAACCTTTAAAAATAATATATGAGCAAATCTTAAAATAAAGCTAGAGACCATAAAACAAGCTTGTGTCCATCAGATATTTTGGACTAAAACTCCAAAAAATCTTAGCACTCCTGGCTGATGTTAAGAGATTGTAGGAGAACTTACAGTCCAAAACATCTGGATGGACAAATCATTACACAAAAACCTATTCCAATTTATCTGCTCCACAGAGGGAAGTTGAAGAAGGTGCCACAAAATATTTAGCCATATAACTTCATAATTAATGTTACCTGTACAGTGAAGGGTCTCTCTTGAGGGTATCTGCACTGACATGCTGTTCCATTAGACTATACAACAGAATAGGAAGGGAAGTAAAGCTGATATTGTACAGGGTAAGATACGCAGTATCATATAAAGGCTGTAAAAGGAGGAAAAGCAGATAGCGATTAGCCGAATGATATAAATTATTGTAATAATAAAGACTTAAAAATAAAATGTGGAAGTAATGCCGGAAATTTCCCGCTTCAATAGTACAAAGTACATTATCCAACTTTGATCTTCTAATTATTTTAGTTCACTTTTTCCCTTGTAGCTTTAATTAGTACAATGTCTGATTAGCAGGCATGTTATGGACATTAGGATTTTTTTTTCATGTCAGGAGCGACTTGAGAAACTTCTGGTGTGAGAGAATTGGCTGTCTGCAAGGACGTTGCCCAGGGGACGCCTGGATGTTTTCATGTTTTACCATCCTTGTGGGAGGCTTCTCTCATGGGGAGCTGGAGCTGACAGAGAGAGCTCATCTGCGCTCTCCCTTGGTTCGAACCTCTAACCTGTCAGTCTTCAGTCCTGCCGGAAAAAGGGTTTAACCCATTGCGCCACCAGTAGCTCCGACATTAGGATATGTAATAATTAGTATACAGTACAATCAAAATGTACATGATCCAATCCAAGACGAACATTCAGTGGTAAATATTTAGAAAGAGGTATCACTCTTTCATCGCATGCTTAGCTTCAGGTCCAATAAGTATTAGCAGTAAGTATTCCGAATAGGATCACAATTCCCTATGCAAAGTTTACATTTATATCTGATAACCTCAAAGTATGAGATTACAACAACAGCTATTTTATGTTATTCTGAAGCACTTCCTTTTGTTTCAGGAAAAACTAAAGAATGTATCACATGAAGAAGGCAAATCGTTATTACAGCAGACCAAGAATATGGCTGCAACTTATCACATAACATTGCTGCTATTCTGTGGCTCTCCTGGTAGAAGACAATTGAAAGATGTTTCTTTTACACAAAGGTTATTATGTGTTCATAAAAGAAACAATTTCCAGGGAATATCCCATCAGGAGAATTGCAAGTAAGGAACAACGTTATATTTTAAGTCCCAGCCAAACATGCTGTTGTCCTGCTGTAATTGTGATTTGCCTGCCTCATGTGATATTATCCTAAGAAACAGACAATGATCTCTAATAATCTAAGAGGATCAGAATAAAACTTTCTTCTGAAGAGCTCTTGGCTAACACTACCAACTATTCCTTATTCATAAGAGTAAGAAATTTATGAATTTTAAGCTCACCCTCCTTTCTCAACCACAGTTTTGTGTTTTCCTCATTAAACTGTAAATTCACTGCAACTGTGAACTATAAATTGAAGTTTGCACACTTTAGGTAGCACACCCAATATTCCTTATATACATTAAGTGAAAACAGCTTAAATGGTGAACCTGAAGATCTGTTCATTTATTATATCCAGGGAGAAATCTCACCCTGATAAAATCCTGATGTTTATGTGTGCTCCTCCTCATTCTTAGTGCAGAAAAAAACAACAAATCAGCACACTGTACCATGTTTATTTGACTGCACAATCAGAACCCTCATTGTTTTCAGAGACAGTCAACCATTGTAACTTTGAATTATCTTTGATGTAGATGATCCAAAAGTTTTTCTGGAATCCCAGCTGATAAATAGTGGATTGTTTCATCTGACTACTAAGGAAATCAAACTGATTGGATTACTCAAAAGTCTCATAACTCAGTAAAAAAAAAGAAGATATCATCACATACCTGCTGTGAAAACCCACAGAAGAACTGGTATAAAAACTGAGGGAAAATGAAGCACACATTCTGGAAGACAAAAGCCATAGATACACCACATTATTATCGTCCTCTACAAATGAAGCATGGAAACAAACTGATATAAATTGGGATCAAATCAGTACAAGTTCTAGCCTTCAATAAATACTCACAGAACACAGAAAAAAAGCTTTTCAGTACTGGTTAATTATTATGATAATCTTATTAAGACAAGGAGTGGTCAATGAAAACAAACAAAAATACATTTATTTTTTATTTCCCATTAAACATGGAGAAGGTGCTATGTCACTAGATGCTTTTCCTTTGTTTTGAGTGACATCATAGCTCAAAAACTGCTGGACTAATTGACACCAAATTTGGCCACAAGACACCTACTAACCCAAGGAGTGACCATCACTCAAAATTGGTTTTGTCATTTGGGAGTTGTAGTTGCTGGAATTTATAGTTAATCAATCAAAGAGCATTCTGAACTCCACCAATGATGAAATTGAATCAAACTTGGCACAAGACTCCCATGACCAAACAGAAAACACTAGAAAGGTTTGGTGGGCATTGACCTTGAGTTTTGGAGTTGTAATTCACTTACATCCAGAGAGCACTGTGGACTTAAACAATGAAGGATCTAGACCAAACTTGGCACAAATACTCCACATGCCCAAATATGAACACAGATAGAGTTTGGGGGAAACAAACCTTGACATTTGGGAGTTGTAGTTGCTGGGATTCTTAACCCCTCCAATAGAATTGGGCCAAACTTCCCACACAGAACCCCCTTGACCAACAGAAAATACTGTGTTTTCTGGTGGTCTTTCGTGACCCTTCTGACACTCCCTCATGCCCCCCCAGGTTGAGAAATGCTGCCTTAAGGCCATCCAGTCCAACTCCCTTCACCAGGGCAAGAAAACACAATCAAAGCCCTCCTGACAAAGAACCATCCAGCTATAGATAGATAGATAGATAGATAGATAGATGGATGGATGGATGGATGGATGGATGGATGGATGGATGGATGGATGGATATGATTCACATACACACACACACACACACACACATGACAGATATATTATCATAGATTTGAAAGAGACCCTTAAAGAAGGACAATTATATGTTGCATATTCCAGAGTAGGCAAACCAGACAATCTCTACATCAGCACTGACAACGAAACAACAAGAAATATTGTTTACCCACAAGCATAAAAAAACTACATATATTAGAAACCAACACTTTCTCATTACTTTATTTTCCAGATCACCAGACTGGGCCACAGCAACGTGTGGCAGGGGACGGCTACTCTAGTACAAGATTAAAAAGAGAGGGGGGAACCTTACCTTATAAAAGAAGTATTGCACAAGTTCAGATATCCTGACATAATAAAAATGCCCATGAACAAGCAGCATTTTTTTCAAATGTTTAAATTTGGGTATTGCATAGTCACTGTTTCTTGCTGCTTGACGACCTTCTTTTCCAATAATACCTAGAAGGGGTGGAAAGTTGTAGAAGCTGGTGAGGCAATATGAAATAATGCAGAGAAATTGAGTTGGTGAGATTAATAATTAGATTTCATTGTGGTTTAAATAGGATTACACGCTATGTGTGGTGAGAAAACATCCCACTGACAGCAAGATCTGAATTTCTTTTAAATTAAATCAGCAATGTTCAGCCTTTATGCTCCAAGGTTTAATTGTATGTTTACATCATTGCCATTCTGATATATCTTTTCCTGCCCTCCAAAGAAAATAGAGATGGGCAAACACATGTATACTGGCTGCCGATTCAGTTCCGAGCACAATTCAAAGTGCTGGTTTTGACCTATAAAACCCTATATGGCTCCGGCCCAGCGTACCTGTCCAAACGTATCTCCTTCTACGTCATGCCTAGGAATTTAAGATCTTCTGGAGGGGCCCTGGTCTCGGCCCCGCCCGTGTCACAAACGAGATTGGCGGGGACAAGGGACAGGGCCTTTCCGGTGGTGGCCCCCCACCTGTGGAATTCACTCCCCGGGGAAATTAGATCATCATCATCCCTCCTCTCTTTCAGACTGACAATGGACAATGATGACTAAAGCTTTGGAAACAGACTATGATAAGCGGAATGAATTTATTAATTACGGATTTGGCAAAACGGTGGCCACCAGGCTGGCATTTTATTGTATTTTTATTGTATTAATGTAATGTTTTAACTGTTACAATTTATTGTTACTATGTATTTTACTATGTGAATTGTAGGCATCAACATATGCCGGTTGGAAGCCGCCCTGAGTCCCCCTTCGGGGTTGAGAAGGGCGGGGTAGAAATACCCGAAATAAATAAATAAATATACAGTGTTCATATGTTTGTGTCTTCGTTTAGTGAACTAATTAACAAATGAGCCTTGTATTCATGTATATATCCCTTTTCCTTTTCCCTCCTGGACACATTGCAATTATGTCCAACAAGTCTTCAGTTAATCACATTTCATCACTTTTTCCAAAATGGGATTAACATAGTTCAGAACATGCTATATGACCTTAAATAAATTTCACCCATGCTTCTTTAAATACTATTTAGCATACTGAAGCACACTGAGAAGAAAGGGCCAGTGTGATGATGGCATATGCAGGAAAAAAAGCCCAAAATATATCTTTGTTTCGTAGGCTGAGATATGATTATATAGGCAACAAACTCTTTTTCCCAGTACTAGACTTAATGTCAGGGGGAAACCTTTACTTTACTAGACACATGATTCTAGAAAGTTCTAACATCAGAACCTTTAAAAAATAAAGCTGGTTTTTAATATAGCTGGTTTTAATACTTTGTTGTTATGTACTGTTGTTTTATATGAGTTGTTAGAATTTTTTTGTGTTATTTCCGTTACATATAATTTGAGTTTGCATTGTCCTAAATTTGAATGGCATCAAATTGTTGCCAACTGACATTCTTCCACAATAGATGGATGTTATATTATGGGATACATACTACCGCTAGTCCCCACTGGAACAGTAGCACCAAATCAACTGCTGAATGCTAAATGCTATGTAAACTCATTGTTGCAATAGGTCTACATTAGTTAGGTCTAGCCAATACACATAGATCCCTGTCAACAGAAAAGGGCATTGCCTTTAAGATGCCAGGACAATGTTGACGAGTAATTCAATATCATTAGTTTTATTTAATTAAACAGGAGTCAACCTATTCACTTACCAATCCCAACATGTGCTTCTAGGATCATGCTGACATCATTTGCTCCATCTCCAATTGCTAATGTGATGGGGTGCTCCTTTGACCATTTAATTAATTTTACAATCTGGAAGAAAAAAGTGCAAATGTTTCAAAGCACTAGTTCTTTCTAAATTGGGCGATTTGGTTCAATTTCCCACTTGTTGCACATTACTATTATTACTTTGGGAAGGTGGGCACAGGTAAGTTTTCTGTGATGTAGAGTCTTTCACTTCAAATACCATAAAATGTTCTAGAGAGGGGTGAAAGATATAGGTCAACAAAAAAAATTGATTCTGTTCACTCTCGCAGAAACTCAGTCTGTTCTCATTCCTTTTAATGGATAGAAAGAATTTCCAGTTGCATTATATTTAATTGAACAGACCACGTCTATGACTACTTGATAGAAAAATTATGTGTTTTTACAGGGAAGTCAAATTGCTTGTGTGGCACATTCTTGATACTTGTGCAAGAAGGTATTTCAGAACTTCTTTGTGCAAATGGAGAAGAAAAAGCAGCAATGAATAGCAGCATGGAGACTGGATGTGAGTGTTAATCTCTGGATGCATATACACTAACCACTTATCCCAAAGTGCAAGCAAATCAGCTCAGTAGCAGTTAAAAGATGCACAGAGCTGATTCGTGCTAACATGGGTCAAGACTACTTGAACTCTGCTTGAACCACATTAACCAAAGTCATGGGTCGCTCCAAATTCTCCCTGAGAATACAGTGCAAACTGTGACTTTGGGCCCATGCAAACAGCTGGGCTTGTACCAAGATGGAATTCCCCAGGCTCAGGTAGCCCAAAGACATGGGGATAGCACTCAATACCCTCTTCCACCTACCTTTATCATTGTTGCAGCAGCCAGCAGGCACAGCATGGCTTATGTCAGTTGCTCTTTGCCTGGAGTGACATTCACCATAGTGACCAGACAATCAGAGAAGGAAGAGGGGGTGAAAAAGGATGATTTCCTCCCCCATCCTGCATCACTCTGATACCCCAGTCAACAATTACTCCATTTGATGAGTGACCAACACAAGCCATGCAGTGCCCACCAAGATTTCAAAAGAGTGCACTCATTCTTGTCTGGTTATTTTTACACAACATACAAGCCCCTATATGAGGTACCAGTGGAAAATGCAGCACTTTTCTTTTATTAAATAAGCTAATTTTGGGTGGTATGTCAAATCCTGAAATCAGTGGCACAGCAGGATGCTATTTTAATGTACCATTAATTAATTTCTTTCTTACAGAAATTCTCCTTTCATGCATTTCTTCTTGTTTTCCATTTTTTGATTCCATTATCAGTCGGGGCAGGGGTGGGTGTTTAGCATTTTAAAACTGCTGCAACATATTACTTGATGACTTTCAATATTTACATACATCCATAAGCATTTATCATGTCATTAGACAAAGAGAAACACAAACCTGTGCTTTTTGCAAAGGAGCCATGCGACAGCATAAAACTGCACTGCAGTTCCTACAAATTTCAAGGAAGATCTCTCTGTAGTTACCAGAGCTCCCATCTTCCCGAGGTTTCATTATTAATGATAGTGCTGCTCCATCAATAATTAAACCATAATCTTGCATTTCAGCTGAAAGCCTGTTGAGCAACAAAAACACAGAAAGTAATGCTGATGTTACAGCTTAAGCAATCATGTTTTATAGAGCACTTCAAAAGATATACCAAAATAGAGCATTTTGCAAATATTCTCCTTTAAAGTGAAGTGAGCATTTTTTTCAGTTTTCACAAATGGAGACCAGAAATTTACCTGCTAGAAGCCCTTGGTGAGAGACTGATGCAGATTTCTGCCCCAGGTGTCTCTGGGGGACATATAGTGTGTCAAAAATCCCAAAAGGAAGTAGCAAGAAGATATTTAAAAACCCATGTATTTTATGTTAAATAGTGAATGGGGTAGGCGTTGCAACCTATTTAAATGCTGAATTGTTGTTTTTTTCCCCCGGAAGGCTTCTAGGAAAGCATTTTAATCTTATTTGGTAGGAAAGAAACCATAAAAGAAGCTTCTAAACAACATGCATTCCCAGATCTGCACTTAGTTCCCACTCTCAGTTGCCCTCTGAAGGAATTTCTTTCTCCCATTTTGCCTTGTATCAAGCAGTAGAACAGCAAGTTATTTTACTATTTGGAGGATACCCTGTCAACTCTGTTCATTAAGTGTCTGTTCATTAAGTACCAGCAGAGAAAGTACAATCTCTTCATTCCCACCTGCTAAAACTGTGTATCTACTGGAGTTAAGACCCAAGGAGGAAGTAGAGACCAAGGCAAGATATCTAGTGGGCTCAAAGGGAACAGCTATGGTTAGTTTTGTCTGGATGGACAATGGGGGTGCAAGATTTATTTCAAATATGTCAGGTCTGTGGTGTTCCCAGGTGACAGCAGCTGATTAGCATAACTATTGCTCTGGGTCTGTGCGACATAGTTAGCAGTGCAGTCCAATAAACTTTTGGATTAGGTTATGAGGTGAACAAGGACACTATGCAACACAGTACAACCTCTGTATCTACATAGGATATGTTCCAAGACTTCCTCATAGATACCTGAAACCATAGATAATAGTGAAATTTATATTCAATAAATCAATAATAATTTAAAGATAGAGAAATGGCTGAAGTTTAATTTGAAGGAGCAGAAGTTTGGGAAACAGAAGAGGAAACACACATATAAACAGAGAGAAATACCACCAACACAGGCTGATATTTCTGCTTTGCAAAGGTGCAGGTGAAAAAATATACTCAATGCTCATGAAAGCTCACATATTTTTATCTTGTGGTCATATAATTTTGGTGTAACTTTAACACATCCCTACAGGTTTTATTTTTCATCCCTGAAGCAGAGAAAGTTTATTTTCAGAATGGAATCCATATTTTCAACATACCCTGAGAAGCTGTCCCGTGTTAAGCTGCCATTGTGCCTTAGGACAGTTTTGCTTAGTTCAAACAGCACATCATGCAAACTCTGCTCTTCTATTTTCTTTGTAGTTAACTCAAGTATTTGAGTATTTCTTCTGAAGAGTTTACAGGCATAGCAAGCGGCGGCAGCAGTTTCCATTTTGTCTCCCGTCAGAACCCATACCTTAATACCAGCTTTTTGCAATGCTTCAATTGTGTCAGCAGCTTTTTCCTGCAGACTTTGGAGATAACAAACAATTAATGGCAAAACTTGAAATTAAAAATGTATAAAACTTGTTAATATATTTCTGACATACTGGAAAAATCACTGGTAAACATACTTTATATTTAAGGAGTCTTTGCTTCTCACTTTGCTATTCTCAGATCACTCAATAGCTTTTGCCTTTGTTGTTTAAAAGAGATGTTCCTAGTAAACATATAACAGGTGTTTCTAGTTTTTGAAGCAGAGGCAGAGAACATAGGCTCTCCAGATGTCAACAGACTGCAACTCCTATGAGCCCTAGCCAGCATGGTCAACAGTGAGTGATGATAGAAGATGCAGTTGAACACCACTTGGAGGGCCACATATTTCCCATCCCTTACATTTTAACCCCTATAAGTTAAATTGGCAAGATGTAAGGAGGTTTAAAACTGCTTACAACTCCTTAGAGTTTTGTGCAATCTGAAGATTACAATTTTGTTGAAATAGAAAGTTCTGTTTCACTGGCTTTACCATGATCCAAGTGGCATGGGATATCTGGCAAGAACAGTAAAAATGAAATTCTGCAGATTTTTTTTTCAGTAGAAGGATTAGTAATAACCAGGCTCAAGTAATAAAAAAAATGATATTCCTTGTGCAGGGGATCAAGAAAAGCAATCACTCTTGGTGCTTGCAGTGAGTACCATGGAAGTAATCACTTTATACAGGTAGAAAACCCATCTTTGGTTGTAGTAGTGGGATTTCCTTCAGAACTGGTGACAAGAAAAGGATCTCTAGAAAGGAAATCCTTTTTGTATTTCTGCTTAAGGGAGTAAAATATCTTGACTCAGAAACAGCTCACCAGACCTCACAACCTCTGGGGATGCCTGCCATAGATGCAGGTGAAAAATCGGGAGAAAATGCTTCTGGAACATGGCCATACAGCCCGGAAAACTCACAACAACACAGCTCACCAGTTACACATATTTTAGAATCCAAATACTCTACTGAAGTGTGAGGACTTTTAAATATCATCCCAGCTACATGTGTAGATACCAGAAAGATTAACTGGTTGGGTTGTCCATTACTGGAGGTGCAAGTAAATCTTGCATGAACTGAAATATCGAGTATTCCATGTAGCTGTTTGTTTCTTTTACAGAAACCGAAGATACCAAAGTCCTGTGATTTTTCTAATTTGATCTACATAGTAAAAGCCAGTGCGCCTTTATCTACTTTCTTAGTGGAAAGTCTTCCTCATTGAGAGGGACATTATTTTCTTTCTGCGCCTTCCTTTTCACTGAGCATTTTGTTATACTTAGTAATTTGGGTCAGTAGATTGGTTTGGTACCAGAATTTTCCAGATTATTTTAGACCTGGATTGTTTGTTTTTTTTTGGCACTGAATAGAACAATTAGTTCCACTGTGCAATCAATTTGCTGAGCTACTAATTTCTGCAAACCTAATTGTAAACTGCTAATCATTATTATCCTGCATCTAAATGCTGCCCTAGAACTGCTATTGGTCAGATATGCCAAGCAGGAGTTAATGGCTCTGACATTCCTTTAACGGCAGAATAATAGCCATTAAAGGAACAATAATTGGACAACAATTTTAAGGTTTTTGAGTCCAAGTTCTTATTAACTTTTTTAAATGATATATAATTAAAGTACACCTCTAAGTAATAATTGCCTAAGAAAACCCTGTAGGGTTCATGGAGGTCACCATAAATTCACAGGAGATTTGAAGGCACACAAATGTGCAGACACACACACAAAATGCTATTACACCCAAGTAACATTCCTTTTGATAGTTCTTCCTTTGGGAAAAAATAGTAAGGGTAATTTATGTGTTACTCCTTTCCCTGTCACTCTTTTCAAAATGTCTTTTCTATTTTTATTTTCTTAAAAAACAAAACCCCAAATACAAGTTGTACTAGGACATATGCTGCTGTTCCAAGTGCAGTAGCTACAAGTACTTTGGGAAGCTTTCAGGAAGCAAATATGAAACAATTCCCTTGGGTGACAATGATGACATTTTTTTAAAAAGACAGCAAGGTCATTTGGAGATGGTGTTGAAGCCCCCTGGGGATCACAAGGCAAGAACTGGGGCAGAGGGGGAGGGGCTTTGTAAGCAGTGAATGCATGGAACACATTCACACAAAATGCTGTAAATGCATTGTTCCTATGCAGTCAACAATGATTATATTAAAAGCTGGCTAAGTGGGCAGAACAAGTAATTCAACACCTACCATTTTCCAAAATATCATTCCAAACCGTGTAATAAACCACCATTTTTTACTTTTATCTGCATGAAGAAATCTCTGGCCCAGTCCAGATAAAACCAGGATCTGAAGCTGGTAATATGATTTTCAAATTAAATAGGAAAGTCTGATTAGAGATTTCTTGGCTCACTGAAACACAACATGAAGGAAGCTAAGCAGCTATGTTTGTTACTGGGATGAGAGACCGCCAACATGTCATCAGCTATATTTCAGAAGAAGGAACTAGCAATACCACCTCTGATATTCTTTGCCTAAGAAAATCCTATGAAAATCATGGGGCTCCTATATGTCAATTTGAAGGTAAATCTCATGATCATCAGTCTGCTTTTCTTTCAGGACCAAGACCAAAAGTAGCTCATAGCGTTAAAATGACACAATTTAAAAACCTAAAAAACATAAATATTAAAATAGAATTAACTGTTACCATTATTTAAAAAAAAATTCAGAGAAATTAAGGTAGGATAGAAAAGAATGCCTGCACAAGGCTGGTGCATATATGAGCTCACTGAACAAAGATGTGACTGTTTATACAAGACCCTACATCTGCTACCTTGGGCAGCATTGAAGACTTTTCCATCACACCGGTAATATTGATAGGTGAACCAGGTTTATAATTTCAGAAGATGTGATAAGCCTATCTCATCCTTGAGTCTAGACTAGAGGAACATACTAACCGGTCTTCAACTGCTGTAGCACCAAGTAGGATAAGCTCTGTTTCGATCAGTTCATATGCTTCGGCCAGCTTCTTTTCCCGATCCTGCAGAGCCAACTTTGCCTCCTGTAGCTGCTTCTGTACAGTTTCATATTCCTCACAGGTGAATTTTTTATATGCCACACATAATGTCCGCAGGCCCTCCTAAAGAAAATTGTTTTAAAAGCACAGAAATAATTGAAAGTTTTTAATTTGCTAGTTAAACTAATTCGCTAGTTAAACTAATTCACATAGCTTACAATTCATACCTATTTTTCGTTTTCTAGCATAATGCAAGTTTGTCAGCAACCCTGGGAGAAGTAATGCTTCTGAAGAAGTCTGCGAGAAAGTTAAAAGTCCAGGGAATTAAATTCCCCTATTGCAGCCCTTGTCACTGTTCTAAAAACCAAAACAAAATCCCAAATCTCTTGTAGGAATGATCCAGGAAAAACAAATGAACAAGTTTTTTTAATGGATTTGTCTCCACCCTTATCCAATTTTTTTTAAAATCCTATTTATATGGATGGAAGGAGCAAATACAATGGGACTATTGAATAACCACAGAGACAATGAAAAAAAGATATCCACTGAAGCCTTTCTCTGATGGCTAGTATTTCATACAGCCGTGGGTCAGATAAATGGGAGGCTTTGGTAACTCTTGAGAAAGGGCTACTAGTCCTGAAGAATTAATGGGCTGCAGTTCTGGGCTGAAAGCCTGACAGGACAGAATATGCAACCAGCTCAAATTTAATTCAAGCAGAAGAAGAATGTGGGACTCAGTAAGATCCATCTTTCAAACTCACATCCAATTACTACAATATTCACTGGCCTCTCGAATGCTTAATGTCTATCTGGACTTTGAACAACATGTAGATTGAAGGAGAGGAGGGAGGAAGACAATGGTTTATTTTTTCTTTGTCCCTGTTCCAAATTTTAGGGAGGTTTTGCCAATTTCTGATCCAACACACAGAAGGTAATTTATATTTGCCAGTTACTGGGCCTTACCACTGCATTGCGCTCAACTCTTGCTCTAATCTGCTCTATTTTGCCTTCTGTAACTCGAGGGAATATAGAAGAATCTGCTCCTTTGCAAAACAGAAATATTTCCCCTGAAAATGTAAACAAAACACATTTTAAAATTGGCTTATATGTGGATGTGACATATCTTCTAAACAAACAATAAAACGTAATAAAGGATTCTTATAAAATATGCTTGAAAGCATGTACATTAATGGAAATCAAATGAAGACTTCGTGCATAGTATTTTAAAATAAGATGGAATAAGAGTTAGCTTGCTAAAGGACATAAGTCAAATTTCAGTCTTAAAAGCAATAGCTTAAGAACTTTGTTACATATTTATGACTGGTTTGGGTTTTTGCATTTACCTTTTAATGATCTAACAATCACACTCATTCGTCTCCTTACTGAATCAAAACTAAGGACTTCCAGGAGTTCAAACCTGAAGTGGAAAAGAGTGTCATTCTGTAATATTTTAATTAATTTTATCCACATATTAACACATATATGAGTGCCTGCATGCATGAATGCACAAATTCAGATTCAAAAGTACATATGAAACTATCTTCAGACAGCTCTTGAGGTAATAATAACAGATATATACATTATACCCTCTAATAAAATGCGAACAACTGACCCCAATATTGTTCAAAGTACACTTTAAAAGACATGCAAGATTGAAAGCAGTTATGTGATTGGCATTTGTGTAGACTTGTTTGAACAAACCATAGCCCAAAGGCTGTAGATAGACTTCTGGACCATAATGAATTTTGTAGAAGGGCTAGTTTTATTGTGTGCCTCCACCCTCAATTGCCACTGAAATCATGGCACACACTGTTGCTAGGATCCTATGAAATGTTTCTTACTCCCACAGGACTTAACTACAGAGTTGCCATCAAATTTTGACAGCAACTGAAATGGTCAAAACATGGATGGCCCCAAGTAAATTGTGGGGTTCTGGTTATTAATTGCAACTCTCCTTACGCTAGCAAGTTACTCAACTCTGGCACAGTCCTATAGTAAACTCAAAACTTACTTTTCAATATCGTTTTCTCGATTTAGGAGTTCCATGTAATTGTCTTTCAGCCTTAAATATGTGAAACCAAGCCTGAAAATTCAATCAGAGAGTCATCATAGTTAAAATAGCTTCATTTACCCTCTCATGTTTGCAATACAATGAACTGTATAATTGTTTGTGTATGCCTCAGGATTTCTATTTACCTTGTGCTTTGTCTCAAAATGTTGAGAACACCCATCCCATCTAATTTGTTTTCATCTCGTTGGATTCGAATTTATGTCCTTTGTTTCATGACACAATGAATTCTTGACTACTGCATGGGGTACATGCGGCTGTATAAATTACATGCACACTTAATAAGTAGATTTTTAACTGAAGTGAACTGTACTTTTTATCCTATCTGAAAGGAACAAAGAGCTTTTATGTCACAAAATGCCTTTGTTCTGAAGCTTCTTAAGGCAGATTGTACCTTGCCTAGGGAAGTAATTCTGTGCTAATTTTATCCTTGACAGAAACAACATAAGAAACTCTGAAAACTGTACTATTTCTCAAGATGACCTGCAGTTTGGGGGCATTTCTGCAAAAGAGTCTCATGTGGGGTGGGAGGTTGTGCAAAAACAGCAATTTTTGCACTTATAATATGTTTGTATGTGATTATGTTTTCTGCACAAGTATTTCTTCACAGAAATATTATTTTATGTAAAGAAAATGCTGTTTTCTGAGCAAATACACCAAATGTGATTTTTTGGTAAAATACTTTTGAACTAGCAACTGTGTAATCAATGTAGAATTCTTCTCACAAGGTTGACATTTTACTATTTTTTGAATATTGTTTCTTGCATCTCTAACCTTGATCACCTAACTTTGACCACCTGTACTAATAGTGTACAGGCAAGACTAACAGAAATGTTCCTGGCATTTGTGTTAGTAAAGAACATGCATTGAAAGTCTTCCCTTTCTGGTTCATGTCTGTCCATCTTCCCATGCTTTACTGTACTTCCCCAAAGGATAATTTTTGAAACCCTTAAATGACAACAGTAGGGTTTTGCAAAGCAAAACAGATGTCTATTTCATAATGAAGAAATTCAAGGGCGAATCCACTGTTGTGATAATTAGAACTAACAAAACCTTTTGCACATCTCTCTGATCCCAATGATTACAATCCCCCACTGATAAGATACAGTTAAGATATTCACCTTTATATATGTTGTGGCTTGAACAAATAATTTTATCACAGCACATGTGTTACGTCAGCTCAGCTCTGCAAGGATGTTGATGTTACCAACCAACTACTGTTTACAACATACCTCTGAATCCCTTCAACTAAAGCAACTTCATCAGGGGATGATGAAATATACACAGAGGACCTTCCTGACAGCTGGGCCTTTTTTAATCCATCCACATTGTCATCTTCCTTCACCTGGACAGTGTGACAGAGGCACAGAGCCCGGAAAAAGAGCTCTTCTCTGTCCTAATAATGAAAGAGAAACAGAGATGCATAGCTTTTTATTCCTAGGCAAATATCATCAATACTTAACAATATTGCGGTATAACAAACTCTGTATTTATGGGAATGATGTGCACAATCAAATGTGTGCACAATCAAGTGTGTGCACACTTGCCTTTCCTTCTTAGAGAAAAAAAAATCACCATAAGGGAGTTTATATTACAATAACATTTAATTTCTCTACTAGTACCAATACTATTACTATTATAATTTTAAAGGCTTCATACTTTGCTACTTCCTCCTGGGGATGAATCAATCATATCAATTCCAGCACAGTCGTGAAGGATTTGCCCATTACAGATGACATGAGGCACATAAACATGCCCTTCAATGCAGCATTCTATGAACTCCATATTGTTCTCTGTTAATGTCCCTGTTTTATCTGTGAAGACATATTCAACCTGAAAAGAGACACACAGAGCAATTAAGGACGAAATAACAAGAACAGAGCTTGAGGGAGGAAAGTCAGCTCTTTTGATAGCTGAAGTTATTGTATGTGACTCAAGATTTTGGCCCTTGGCCTTCAGAGAGCATACAGCACTTGTCCTTTCTGTGATTATATTTTGCTATGTTAACACATAGCAGAAGAAAATTTCTTTTATTTTCATAAATAGTACATTATGATGTTTTGGGATGCAGACGGGAGTTACTCATGTAAATTCTGACTCAGAAACCAGCCTCTCAGCACAGGAAGCCCAACTCTATATGGGCTATACGGTATTAGTATAAGTAAGTAATTATCCTGTAAATCCATGCAATCATCTTACGGTAATATTTATGTTTGGCTTAAAATGACAGTAGATTATGGTAACTTTTATTACTGTTAAATTATTTTTTTTCTGAAATTACAACAGTCAATATTTCTCAGCAGGCTTTGCTGCAATCAATTGAAATGCAACATTAAATATACAGTTAAGTGTTATGAGATGAGAAGATATAAACCTCAAACTCATGTGCCTCCTCCTTCTCTCTTCTTCTCATCTTTGTATCTAATAGTAGGAAGCTCAAAGGTCACGCTCATAGTTTTTAACTGCAGTTCTCCAATATGCCAAAATGCAGGACATTAAACATATGCAGTACTCTCACTTATTCAACATTTAGATCAGCAAAATGATCCGGATGTTCTCTAAGTCAAACAAATTGGTGTTATATTGTATGTCATAGATATGGAGTATCATACTCTTAAAAATAATGCCGAAAAAATGTTCAGAGCAATCTCTACAGAAACCCAATCACCAGAGTAAGACATGATACCTGTCCTAACTCCTCATTGAGGTCAGAGGTGTTCACCAGCGGTCCTTCACCTATTTCTTCGTCAAACATTTCTTCATCCCAAGTGAGAAAATAAGAACCAAGAAACTTTTGCATTTCTACTGTGACATACATGGATACAGGGATAATGTAGTTGAAAAGAACCATGAAGGCAAGAAAATCTGTAAATGCTGTAATAAACTGTAAAGTGAAAAGAGAAAACAAATGAATTGATATATCAGTATAAACTACATATTATGCTCACATATTTGAGAATAGGTTTTGCTGCACGCAATTGCATTCTTCTTCCATGTAAACCTGTACATTATATTCTAATATATTTCTAAAATACAACTGAAAATTATTGTAAGTCTCTTGCATTCAACTATAAGATTCCATTTCATCCAAATTTGTCATGAATGGATGTCCACTATTCAAGCATACACATATATGTTAAAAATTTCCTATCATTCCTTATCTCATTGAGAAGTAGATCTGGAGTTGTAGGAATATCATGCAAGAATATTAAATGAATCAATATGGCCGATTTATTTATTTGTCGTGTCAGAACAACCAGTCAAATTATATTACATTTCTAACAGAAACAAAGCAAACAAGCAGATTACAGAATTTGTGAGTATGAGAGTTGATTAAATGTCCTTTGACCAGTATCTGGCCACTTGGAGTGCCTCTGGTGTTGCTGCAAGAAGGTCCTCCCTTGTGCATGTGGCAGGGCTCAGGGTGCATTGCAGCAGGTGGTCAGTGGTTTGCTCCTCTCCACACTCGCATGTCGAGGATTCCACTTTGTAGCCCCATTTCTGAAGGTTGGCTCTGCATCTCGTGGTGCCAGGGTCTGTTCAGTGCCTTCCAGGTCGCCCAGTCCTCTGTGTGCCCAGGGGGGAGTCTCTCATTGGGTATCAGCCACTGGTTGAGGTTCTGGGTTTGGGCCTGCCACTTTTGGACTCTCGCTTGCTGAGGTGTTCCAGTGAGTGTCTCTGTAGATCTTAGAAAACTATTTCTAGATTTAAGTCGTTGACGTGCTGGCTGATACCCAAACAGGGGATGAGCTGGAGATGTCTCTGCCTTGGTCCTTTCACTATTGGCTGCTACTTCCCGGCGGATGTCAGGGGGTGCAATACCGGCTAGACAGTGTAATTTCTCCAGTGGTGTAGGGCGCAGACACCCTGTGATAATGCGGCATGTCTCATTAAGAGCCACATCCACTGTTTTAGTGTGGTGAGATGTGTTCCACACTGGGCATGCATACTCAGCAGCAGAGTAGCACAGCGCAAGGGCAGATGTCTTCACTGTATCTGGTTGTGATCCCCAGGTTGATATGGCTGATGAATCAATATAACAAAATACTTTAAAATGTTTATATTAGTGGATTAACTGCTTTAAAATGCTAACATTGGTGTGCGGAAAAGTAATAAACTTCTTGATGCTTCACATTCCTTGTTAAAAACTGACATCATCATCATCATCACTCCACAGAGTAGACTCAAAACGACTTACATAAAAAGTATTGTAATACAATTTAAAATCCAAATATATGCAAACATTAAAATAGAATTAAACATGAATGGAGTTAATTAAAAATGAACAGTTTAAATGCTTAAAATTCATTAAAAACATATTCAAAAACATTATTCACATACCACATTTCGTTTCCTTTCCAGTTCTGTTTTCTGATTATACCAAGGTTCATCACGGGATTGCTCACTTTGCCAAACATATTTCAGGGCAGTATTTATGAGTGCTTTACTGATTAGTATACAGAGGTAAACAATAAGAAATACATTCATTGATCTGAAACAAATGAGAGAACACAAATTATGAACATTTCTAGTTTTTTCAATGAACAATTATATGTTTTATAGGGTTTGAAGGAGAACCTCCTAAGTTTGCACAGTACTGGCATAAGCACACAAAGCTATTTCCGAGATGTATACATTTATTTTCGCATCTACAAGAAAAAATGTTGAGAATCCTTCTCCAAATTGTTGGGAGGAGGGAGCGTATACATAAGACCACCAAAGTTTGTTATCACAACAAATCTACAAGGGAGATTACACTGAAAGTAAATAACAGGACTCCCAATATGCTTTAAAACTGCATCTCTCTACCACAGGCCAGATCTAACAGGTCAGTCACTGTGCTACAAGGTTCTCAGCATTCATGTATTTGTTTGAATCCTGATCACAAATGAAAGAGAAGCTGCAGGCTTCCTCTTTAGCCCTGCATTGTTTTTCTAGGGACAGTGCCACAGGTCATCATCCCAAGAGCTAATGATGCCACCAAACCCTTAGCAATAGTGAACAATGACTTAATGATGATTCACTGAAACTTCTCATAACAAAAATAACAATAACATCACCATACTGAGGGAGAGACAAAAGCCCTCAATAAAAACATGGTCTGAGTTTTTCTTCTGGTCCACAACCTTCACAAAATGCCTTCTTTTCCTCCTTTCTAACTATCCCACAGATACATTATATATTGGGAAAAAGTTGACATAGCTTTACTTTTCTACAGCAGATCGTTTCTGAGATTTTGACTGATAATTCAATGCCATTTTCGTTTCCATGCCAGTGTATATAGCAACACCTGAAACAAACAAAAATACCATTAAATCTAAACTGTGTAATGTTCATGATACGTACACACACACACACATATACACAAATTAACTAACATAATTTGCACAAAAATCAGTAAAAAAGCATAGGACTGTGCACCAGATGCAGTTGTTTATGTATTCATTTAGCTGCATTTGTATATTGCCTTTTTTCCAGTTGGACCCAAGAAAGATTCCAGATAAGTGATAGGCCCTAATCCTGTGATCCTGCAAAGGGAAGAATGAACTCTATATCCTTTGTAAGGCTAAACCGAAAGAGCAAGTGCCCTCTTTTTGACAATATTGAAAGCATTCTGTTTTTTGCACATTTTGGGACACTGGCACAAATGAATAAAAATGAATTTGTTCGATCAGTTTGAGAGCAATGGTGTTGCAGGATATATTCTGCTTATTCTCAGCTGCTTTTTTTCCACCAGTGGTGTCATCATGCAACTAAATCTGAATGTCTATCCAAGCTTTCTCTAGGCATTCACATGAAATCATATAAGGCTAAAACTGGAGAGAAGAATATGAGTGCTCATGTCAGTCTCATTGACTAAATGTCTACATGCTAAGTGTGTACATTTTTCATACATATATTTGACCTAAGATTATTACTACATTATTAGCACACATACCAAATATCTTCTCTGTGTTCTTCAGTGTCGCTCCTCTAAGAAGCACATTTTCAGATCCTAATGGCCTACAGAAAAGTAAACATTTCCAGTCATTAGATGATTGTCCCAAGAGAGTAACTGAATTTTCCAGGTCATGTGGAAGATAGAGTGAACAAGAGGAGGTTCAAACAGCTTTGGTTATTTTTTTAAAAGAAACACATGTTTATAAAAAAAACTAAATAAGTTCCCTAGGTATACAAAGAAACTGTAGCTCATATTTAAAAACCGATTTGAACATATTCCCCAAATAAAAAGCGGAATACAGCTGTAAAGTTCTACTCAGAAAACCTTATATGATATCTGTAGTTAGATAGATATAAACAGAATCCAGTTATACTTGGAACAAAGTGCCACAGTGTTCAGATCAGTTTATTCCCAAATCCTACATAAAGTTCCCTCAGCCTTGTTCTAACTCTAATTTTTTGCTCTATTTCTCCTTTAGCCTGTCAGATGCTTCTGAGTCCCTTGTTCAAAATATCTCTTTAAATAACTATAAATAGCTAAAAAAACAATGCACTGCTTGGAAAGTAGGTGGGGATGGCTGTTCCCTGCAGGTAGAGGATATAATAACACACAAGTAACAGTTGGTATAGACTAGGGCCAGAGTCATTAAAGAAAACCTATAGAAGGTATGTGTGCATAGAGGGAACATTCAATTGCGTCATTCCACCTCGACTCTGAGTGAAGAGAGAGGGGGTCAGAAGACGGTTCCACCTTGTCTACTGTGCTATGCTAATAATATAATATAATATAATATAATATAATATAATATAATATAATATAATATATAAATATAATATTTATAATATTATAATGTAATAAAATAAAATACTACTAATAATATGATATTATAATTATATATTTTATATTAAATGTAATATTACTAATAATATTACAATATAATGGTATAGTACAATATAGTAATATATAATACTGATATTGTACCTCAGTAATAATATAATATATTGTATGTATATATATCTTGTAAGCCCCTCTGAGTCCCCTTTGGGGTGAGAAGGGCGGCATATAAATGTCATAAATAAATAAATAAATAAATAAATAAATAAATAAATAAAAAGGAATGGGGTTTATATGTCTGTTACTCTTCTGATCCCCCATCAAAGTTCAAGACCATTCATACCCAATATTTATAGCACTAGGTTTCTGCTTTATGTTATAATATGCTTTTAAAATTAATGTGTTTTAATTGCTTTGGTTCCTTGCACTTGTTATATTTATTTATTCTAGCACTCAATCTTGCTTGTTTATAGGTTATATTGAATTCTGTTTACTCCATGTTCTCTTTGCTTTTACTATTGTTTCTTTATTATTTGTTCTTGGGCATTGAATGTTTGCCATTTTTATTGTTTTTGTAAGCCACCCTGAGTCCTTCCCAGATTTGGATGAAGTGGAATCTGCCTCATTAAACTACATTCTCCAGGATTATATAGGCGACAGCCATGTAAGTTAAAGCGAGATCACAGAACTATACATGTACAATGTGAAAGAGTCCTGGATTGGGAACACTTTCTGGTATTGCTTCCCTCTTCGGGCCCTAAAGCTCTGAGAAGGTGTGACAGATGAGTTCTACACCCAACTTGTGTCTAAATAATATTCTGTGTCCAGGTTGGTCCCTATGTAGACTTATCCACAGCTGCATGGTATACGGTAGACTCCTGCAGTGGTTAGAAGCTGCCACTGCAGAAGCCTAGCATATACTGTGCTGCTGTGGAGAAGTCTACATAGGAACCACCAAAGAGAAGTGGGAAAGATTGAGGTGGGAAAGGAGACTGGGAAAATGGAAAAGACTGGATGAGAAAGAGGGGCTGGGAAAGTGGGAAACTGTGGTGGTAAAGAGGGCAAATCCGAAATGGGAAAGAGAGGATGGAGCCTGGGGAAGGCTGGGATGGAAAGGGAGCTGGGAAAGTGGGTGTGAGGGGCTGGGGATGCTAAAGATTGGGGTAGGAAGGGGGAAAATGAGAAAAAGGGAAGACTAGGATGGGAAAGATGTGTTCGAAAAATGGGAAAAAACTGAGGTGGGAAAGGAGAAAGTGGGAAGGACTGAGGAGATGAAGGCCTGTTCTCCGCTCTCGGCAGAGCAACCTAGCTGGGTCGCTCTGCTGCGAGAGGAGGAGAGGAAGGCGCTCAGTGGGAGAGAGAGGAGGAGGGAAAGGTGTGTGCAGAGTGAGGGAGAAGGAGAGAAAGGTGCACAAAGGGCAAGAAAGAAAGAGGGAGAAGGCATACACGGGGCAAGGGAGAAGGAGGGAAAGGCATGTGCGGGGCTAGGGATATGGAGGGGAAGGAGCACATGGTGAGGGAGGAGGAAAGAAGGTGCAGCAAGGAAGGAGGAGAGAAAGAAGASCTGGGTTGCTGTGCGGAGAGGTGAGGGTCCTGGCAGGAAGGCATTGGGCTGAAAGAAGCCCTTCTTTCACCCCACACCTTCCTGCCAGGACTTTTATCCAAGTATAAGCTGAGAGGGCCCTTTTCAGCCTAAAAAGCTTATACTTGAGTATATATGGTATTAAAAACACCAGAATCAAGTCAGTAAATAAGGAACACCACTCAGAAACAGGGAAACTCCAGACAGCAAACAATCAGTGGCAGTTACCTCTTCCTAAACCAGCACCCTTGTTGATTGACTTTGAAGCTTCATGGCTACTCAATGTTATGCAAGCTTGCTAACTGCAACATTCACACTTGCTTCAAACAGAGAAGGGTTCTTCCTCCCACCCTGGACATTCCACAGATATATATACACTCCACTTGCTTCAATGCCAACAGAACCTCTGAAGATGCCAGTCACAGATGTAGGCAAAACATCTGGAGAGTATGCTACTGCAACATGGCCATACAACCCAAAAAAACTCACAGCAACCCAACTAACCTGTTTTTTTCAACATATTTGTATTCCTACAGCATTAAATGAATGGCCTCCCACTGACTTACTCTTGTTCTAAAATACCAATTACGTTACTACTGTTTTGAATTGCTGCAGGCACATTTCTGCAGTTATTATAAACTTGAAATCTATTTTAAAAGACCTTCCCAGTTAAAGAAAAGACAAAACATATTCACAGCTTTGGGTTTTTAACAAAAACAAACAAACATTTACACAACTTATTTGCTGTATTTTAAATTGCAATTATATGTTGCCCATGAACTAAAATAGGGAATTAAAAGAATAAAATAATCCCAAAACAATACAAACCACAAGTTAGTAATGTAAAGAACACAACCAGCACATAAAGTTATTGGTTATCAGAAGGAAAGTCTATTTGAATTGAATACGAATAAATATCAATTTTACTTCAGCATCTCAGCACAAATATAAGCATTAACATATAAAAAAAATCCCAAAGCACCCATGCTTTAAAGCTAAAGCATTCTCATAGTATAAGAAGGGCACATTAAGTTATAAAAAGCAAATGCAAGCGACATACATCTGTCTGATTTTCACAGCTCGCAGGACAACAAAGCTAGAAGACAATTAACCTTAAAGTCATTCTGTTAAAAGCAAGACACACAGATCTTCATTAATTAAATATACACCCTAGCTTTGTACCTAGCTGCCAAATTTCAGCGCTTTCCTCTCTGCTGGAAACTCCAGTGAAATTCACCTAGAGTTTTCTTCCCAGGTCATATAAATAATTTCCCTTTTCTGTCCTGGTTAGTTACAGGTCTCTTTTTAATTATTCCTGACGGACTCTGACAACCAAAAGGCTACTACTCTAGCCCTTTTAGATGTATGAAACCCATTCCCAAGGCTACCACCATTACTTCCCTTTCAGTCTTCATAAGGCACATCTGCACTCACTGACAACCTATAATTCTGGAGAATTTTGGTTTGTTGCAGACAAGGTATGTTATGGCAATTGTAACAGTGTATCTGCTTAAACACTTCTGCACAAAGCAAGATAAACTGAATTAATTGCCAGGTTTTTATCCACGGTTAATCTTTCCCCATGTCCAAACCAGGAAATCTGTCTCTTCTATTTTCCAATAAGGCAGAGAATAAATCCTAGAACAAACTATGGATTGTGTTTGCACCTGGACTGTTGCACCTCCAAACCATGGATTATTTCTATGTCTTTTAAGGTGGAATAAGAACTGCAAAACTGGAGGCAATGCACAGACTTACTAATATTTTCAGATATGTTGATCATGGACTAACATATATATTTCTCACATGATGCTCCTCCCCCACACAACCTGTGAATATGCTAACATGAAAGACAAAATATTGAACTGTGTTTTCTGCCATGTCATATGTGCTAGTGCTGACTACGATTCTTGCTTAATCAAATCCCAAAGAGAATTTACATTTTTCTTTTAATCTTTTTTGATCATTATGCCTGAACAGACAGGTATGGGATAGCACTCTAACATTTTTCAATATATTCTGTTTAGGTTGAGGCACAAAGAACCTATTTCTTTGCCCAAGGATGTGGGCTTATCCATCTGTTTTCATTCTTACCTTGCAACAGGCTCATTTCTGTCATGATAAACATTTATTCGGCCGACAAATCTGTAAAAGGAAAAACACATTAGGTAATGCCTCAGTATCAGTGTGCCTCTAGGAATGCAGAACAGAGAATCTCAGTAATTGCACGGACTTGAATGCTAATAGCTCCAGCTTTTTGCCTCAGAGAAGATGAATCACCGCTACACCTCTAAGAACACATGGCATCACCACCGTTTCCTCCTCCTCATAAAGTCTGTATCCTTAGGTGTCCCTTCTGTTTTTCTCCTGAATTTCTTACTGCAGTCTAGACTCAATCACAGCAATGAATGCCCTTCCTAAAATTTAAATTCAGTTATTTTCTACAAACCAGAGTTTCTCAAACTGCGCTCCTCCAGATGTTTTGAACTTCAGCACCCACAATCCCTAACAACTGGTAAGCTCAGCTGGCTGGGATTTCTGGGAGTTGAAGTCCAAAATACTTGGAGGAGCACAGTTTGAGAAACACTGCTATAGACAACATATACAGCCCTAGAAGAAAAGGGGTAACAACAACAACAACAACAACAACATAATCTCTCCAAAGGGATGCAGGGCAGTTTCCAACAAACATGGCAAACATTCAATGCAAAAAAAAAAATGGGGGCCCCGGCGGTGCAATGGGTTCAACCCTTGTGCTAGCAGGACTGAAGACCAGCAGGTCAGAAGTTAGAATCCGGGGAGAGGGAAGATAAGCTCCCTCTGTCAGCCCCAGCTCACCATGCGGACACATGAGAAAAGCCCCCCACAAGGATGGTAAAACATCAAAAATATCCGGGTGACCCCTGGGCAATGTCGTTGCAGACAGCCAATTCTCTCACTCCAGAAGCAACTTGCAGTTTCTCAAGTCGCTCCTGACATGAAAAAATGCCAAAAATAAAACCATACATCAGTTTACATGTTATTTACTCATACTATGGTAATCTCACATTATGTGACTGAGTGATTACATATTCAGAATGATCAATGGAAGTGCACTAACGACTCTGGATTTCAACATGCCTATCGCTAGGCTCTAAGTTTTGGTCACACGGCTAAACTGTAACTGCCTCCCTTTCCTTCTCCTTTTGCATCCAGGCAAAATATCTAAGCCCTAGCACTCCTTCCATTTCAAATCAATCCTTTTGTCTCCCCATATTTTGCTTTGACTATATCTAAAGAGCATGACATGTCATCTTGAATAGCTTTAGAGCAAATCAAGCCTGACCTGTCACTAGAAATGAAAATACCTAAATTGAGACTGTTACACTTTGGACATATCATGAGATGATGGGACTCACTGGAAAAGATAATCATGCTCAGCAAAGTAGAAGGTAGTAGGAAGCCTGCACTACTTGTGAGTTGATTCAGTTAAGAAAGCCACGACCCTGAGTTTGAAAGATTTGATCAGGGCAGTTGATGATCAGGGATTTTGGAGGTTTCTCATTCATAGGCTCACCATAATTCAGCTTGACCACAAATAATGATGACTTGTCTTAAGTTCAATTAGGTAAATTTCTGAATTCTATGAGAGCCTTCATCCTAACTGTTCTAATGTGGGCATTTGAAATTGAAATGATGGGTATATGTTGTCTAGTGTTTCTGGTCTCATGCCAAAATTGCCCATGTTGTGACTATGAAAAATTAACAGGGATCAAGCAAAAGTATTTTTGTAACAATATGTTTCATGCAAGGTCTTGAGTCATGAAAAAGAATCTTGGAAAGTATACTATGTAAAAGGCTTTAGACAGAGGCCCAATTAAATGTGGCGAACTCTGATTAAGGACCTATGTAACTAGATCAAGACAACGTCTCTGTAGAGTATTTTCCATCCTTGGCAGATGCTGAATCCACAGTATAAAACAATGTTTATCTGACATCTGTTTTCTACTTAGATTTAGTATTCATGATAAATCAGTCAAAGCCTGTAGTTCAGCTGATTTAGTTCCTATGAGGTCCACAGAGTACAAACAATTCCACTGAGCCTATAAATACATAAATTTCATTGGAAGCTCCTGTGTCTGATGGCTCTATTGAGAGTGCATTTCTCAGAAGCAAGTTTAATTGGTCTTAGTTTCAACACTGTAATGCTCAAAGATCACAACCAAACACTACTTACATAGAATTAGTGCTACTTCCTTTTGTTTGCTTATAGTAACATTCATCATGACTAAACATTATGTAATGTATGGCTTTTTAGAGAGACAGAGTGGTTCAGTGGTTTATTAGATTAGGGCTCCAGATAACCAGGTCTCAAGGCCTTTGCCTGGCAAATCACAATTTCTCAGCTTCACAGAAAGGCAAGGGCAAATCCTCTCTGAACAAATCTTGTTAAGAAATGTTACATTTGCTTTAAGGTTGTCATAAGTTGGAAGTATCCTCAAGGTACATAGGAACATAATAATAACGGTGTTGTTTAATTCCTATAAATGCATGCAGTATCAGATCTAAATTCTGTAATTTGGAATAGCTACTTTTGAAAACCAGAACTTCCAATACATCTCCCAGTAACAGTGAGCTTGAAATTGTGAGTGGATATCAAATTCATGAATTGATGCTAACCCAGAGCTAGCACTCAACTGTTACTTAGCTCTCTCTTGGCAGATACTCCAGACAGTATCCTACGGATGACCTGACAGTGAGAATGAAAATGCTGGCAGAAACTGAAGCTGCTTGGCTCTATCTCCAGACCACAAACTTGGCATAAAAAACTTGTTCAGAAAATAGTGATACCATAATGATTGAGGCAGATCCAATACTATGTGGCTGTTTTTGCAAGATGGGGAACAGGGAGGTGGCTAGGCATAAATTCTCAACAACCAGTCCAAAACGAAAGTTGGCATAAACCATTTTGAATGCATACAAGACCATTTTATGTAAATGTTTATTTAAATGTTAAAGATGAGTTCATAGAGGGCATAACTAAGAAACTGATGAATTTAAAGCATGGCAGCTAACTTGAATACAATAGTGTGAGTTGACATTGGCACCATTTACACTGCCATATAATGCAGTTTGAAACTGCATTACATGATCAGTGTAAATGGGGGCCTTAGACATGCTTCTCTGAAATGATGCCAAGTAGTATGCTACACAGTTGCAAAGAGCAGACAAGTTCAAAGCATAGGGTGAACAATGTGTGACCCTGATGATGAAGTTGGATTGCAACATGGAAAGATAAAATGAGAGTTGTAGTTAACAATATCTGGAGGGCCTCATTTTCTCCACTCAACATGCTTCTTTGTAAACACAGCTGCAAAACACAACAAGTAAGAGTGGACTCAAATTCTGGATGAGTTCCACTTCTTTGAGCCTCTTCTTGCATATTCTTCCCTGGTCTGCCATTTTACTCACTGAAAAAATGTCATACAACAAGTCCTCTGTAGAGATATTCCATCCTCTATTCATCTATCTGATCCAGAGGTCATTCTCTCATAACAGGCTTTCACACTTAATATTGGTCCTATAAAGCTGCATAGAATTATGATTATTATTACAAGATCTTTATTTATGCCTGTCACCCACCCATGCTGGTAATGAGGAATGAGGTTCTTAAAGGAAAAGGAAAGAGGCTGAACCACAGACTTACATATTGCCTTTTCAATATGTGCAGAAAACATGTAGTATGGTTAAAGTTATTTTAATATAACCAGAATAACGAAGGAAATTTACTGGATATATCCTTACTTATAAAGATCAGGCTGGGGTTGTTCACATTCAATAGTAGCATGCAGGGTGTCAATATCCTGTTCAGTTTGAAAGGCCTTCGTGTCTTGGACAGCATAATATGTCTAGAACGAACAACAAAGACATTACTAAATATCACATGTGTTTATTAAGGTACCTATAAAAATGAAGTTAGAGGTTTCAAAGTGAAAAAAGAGAAAAAATAATAGTAATGTAGTAAAGTTTTACCTGGTAAACCTCTACAGTTCTATATAAAAGCTGGAATGCTTTATTAGCAAATGAAATTTCTAATAAGTGCTATTCTATCCCCAATACTGTTCAACATCTGCATGAAACTGCTGGGAGAGATTCCTTGGAGACAACATACCATCACATCCAAATACATTTCTCCTTATATTCAAAAATAAGCTAAGGATAGCGTGTCACCTTTGAGAATTTGTGAAGGAAGTAATGGGAGAGGTGGGAAAAAAACAAGCTAAAACTGAATCCAAACGGAACCAAGACAGTTTCTACTCAGGGTCCTAACCTGGTGTTGGAGGTGTCAACCAATCCTGAATGGGGTACACTTCCCTCGTTTGCTGCTAGAGGGTACCTCCGGATTCATCACTTCAAATAATAGCTCAGACAAATGACAGTTAGGAAGGTTTGCTGTTAGCTTCAGCTGATACGTCATCTGTGCCCCTTCCTAGACCTGGTGAATCTAAAGGCAGGAGTGCACAGACTTCAAAGCTGGACTTCAGCAATGTACTACAGATTGGGCTACCTCTGTATCAAGTTCAGAAACTTCAACTGTGTAAAACATGGGGGACAGATTGGTTACCGGTGCATCTTGGAATAACCGCATTACACCTATATGGAAATAACTGCATGGGCTGACCATCAGTTTTTGGAAAAGGCAAAAAGTGTTGGTTGTTACCTTTAAGGCTGTATAAAAATGGTGGAAACTGTTGAAAACAAAAGTCATTCCTGGATGCATTTTGGAAGAAGCCTTCAAGAAGGTTTCAAAATGCTTTTGTTAACCTATGCATGGTTTACCTCACTTGTTTTTATTTTTCATTTCACATGTGCATAGTGTTAGTTTCAAATGAAATTATTGCTCAAACATGTAGACCTGCTCTTTTTGTTGTTGTAGGAACCTATCACTATTCCTTCTCTGTTATTTATGCTTCTTGTACCAAGATTTCTGTTACAGATGTAATAACAAAGAATATATCTGCTTTGCAAACTGTGTTGTACCTGTATTTCCACAAATATTAAACCCTTGCGTAAGGACAAAAAAAATAAGATGTGCCAATCTTATTTGCCAAGAGCATTCAATATTTGATATTTTATACCCAAACAGGACTTCTTTCATTAGTCCTTAATAGAAATATCATACTTCTTTACTTGCATGATACTGTCAACCTCCAAAATAATCCTAGAATATCGAATCCGTTGTAGGTTCTAGAAACATAAGCCACTTACTCTTAACAGTAAGAAATAGGTACCTTCATTCACAAGATGCACAATGTTACAGAAATACTGAATTCCAGTCTTTGGCCTTATACTGACATTTTATCTGAGCTTATTACCTTATGACTGGACTCGCCATCCAAACTTGCTGTTGTAACAAAACATGTTCCATCTGCCCGACTACTGGACAATAATATTAAGTCACAAGGGAATGTTTCATCTTCTTTTACCATCACAATATCTCCAACCTAGAAGAGACATGAGGCAAGAACACAAACAGAAGAAGTATAAACAGTTTACCCTCTTAATCTATAGTGGTATCTTTAGTATTCTGTCAACAATTTTATTTTTCAGATTGCAAGTATTTAAATAGAAAACAATGTTCAGAACATCCACAACAAGCACATACCGCAAATTATCCTATAGCATCCTTTTAAAAATGTCACATCTAGATAATAGGTTTCTGATTTTTCAAAAAAGCTCTATTTAAACTAGAACAGGATGAAAAATGTGAACACATTTCTCCAAATAACCCTACTCATTTTTCATGCTTTTGTGAAGTGAAGCAACATGCAGACTACTCTCTCTGGAGGAATGAGAAAGGATCATCTGGCAAGCAGAAGCTTCTCATTGACCCATTTAGCCAACAGAACAACATTCAGGAAAATATAAAGCAGCATAATTCATAAGGAGAAGCTAACACTCTCAAGTTACATTCAGACTGATCATTTTCTTCCTAGCTACACAACAGAGGTTCCCAGCCTTTTTTTGACCAAGGACCACTCTCCAACATTAGTACCGAAAGGGTTACGAATCAGGTTTTGGTCAACTTTAGATTCGGTTTGGTTATTTGGGGTGCTGATTCAGAAAATTGCATTGGATAGACCACATCAGCTCTAATTTCTGATACAGAGCATATGCCATCCAGTAGTCACTATCTGCTTGTTCACAAAAAAACATATTTAATTAGCCTTGGCACTATAAGAGGGTCTTGTTAGACCAATTGCTCTTGTTGTAATGGTGAGGCCGTGGACCATATTTTAGTTCTTGTGGACCACTCGTTGGAAACCATTGCTATACAAGTAAAAAAGAACCTCATGTTCAGGAGCAGTGAATACAACCCAGGGGGCAGATCTGGACCTTCAGGATCTGTTTGTGAAGTATCTGACAATCTAGTATTGGAAAGACCATGCAAGAGAAGAGACACTATTAATGTGATCTAGCAGTGAACATGCTCGCGTTCTTAGTATTCTTTTCCCTATAGAATCTGATAGGGATACTTTTCTGGACTACATTTCAGTGGCACATGGATGAGGGTAATAAACTGAAACTATGGACAGGCAAGAAAGAAGAGATGATTAGTAGAAAGCCTGGATCAGGAACTGTATTTAACCTGTCATAGAGGGGATGCACGCCTTCTGAATCTCAGATTGGGATTGCTAATTGATTGTACCTTGACTCTGGGTTTTTCAGATGTGAAAGCACTGTGTTATTGCTCAGCTACATTTAGTGTGCCAGTTATTATTGGTCCTGAATGAGGCTGATCTGGCTAGTCTATTACAATCTGTGTTTAAAACCATTTTAAAGAGTTTTCAAAATAAATTGGTGCAAAACACAGGGATTTAACCTACTGACATCAATTCATATAGGTTAAAAATTAGCCCCAGCCATTGTTTTCCAGACTCAGTACAAGGTGATAGCCTTAATCTTTAAAAGCTTTGAACTATGTAGAAGACCTACCTGAAAATGTAATATATGAAAATATAACTCTCAAAGGACTGGTTGTCCGCTGAGAATTTACACCCATCTAAAATACATCTATCTCCAATTTTCAGAAAGCGATGAAGACACATTTCCTCAATTATTCTTTAAGTAAATGGTTTTAATATTTTGATGTGATTTTATTATTTTTATTTTGGCCCTCAACTTTCAGAAATCCTAACAGCTGGTAAATTGGCTGGTACTTCTGGGAGTTGTATGCCAAAACACCTGGGGACCCACAGGTTGAGGACCATTGGTCTAGATCGAGAGAAGTCATGGTGCCATTGTATTCTGCTTTGGTTAGACCTTATCTGAAATACTGTTTCCAGTTTTGGACACCAGAGTTCAAGAGGGATATTGACAAGCTGGAAGGTGTACAGAGAAGGGCAACTAAAATGATTAAATGTCTGGAGACCATGTCCTATGAGGGGTGTATTAAAGAACTGGGTATGTTTAGTCAGCAGAAAGTAAGGTTGAGAGAAGACATAATAAATAAAAAATAATGAAACTTTATTTTTAACCCACCCTCTCTCCCCAAAGGTACTCAGGGTGGGTTCCAAAAACAAAAATGGTAAATATGACAGCCATGTATAAATACGTGAAAGGGTGTCATAAGGAAGAGGGAGCAGACTTGTATTCTACTGCCCTTGAAACTGGAACTAGGAACAATGGGTTCAAATTACAGGAAAGGAGATTCCATCTGAACATTAGGAAGAAATACCTGACCGTGCAAACTGTTCAACAGTGGAACTCTCTGCTTGGAGTGTGGTGGAAGCTCCTTCCTTGGAAACCTTTAAACAGAGGCTGGGTGGTCATCTGTCAGGAATACTTTTGATTGTGCTTTTCTTGCATGGCAGGGGGTTGGACTAGATAGCCCATGTGGTCTCTTCCAACTCTTATCAGTCTATGAGTCTATGATTCCAATATTAGTAATAGAGTAATAATGATTCAATAAATAGATTATTGCTTATTAACGAAGGGATTAATTATTAAATAATTGATTATTATTGTTTTTATTACTCATTATTAAAGGGATACATTATTAAAATATTATTAATAGTGATCACCTAAGCTACACAAATAACAAATTTGCTCACCATTAAGGTTCTGCAGGACGCTATGGTAATTGACACTACGCAAGTGAGTCATGTGGATCAGGCAATGTCTTCCCTCCCCACTCCCGCCTCATTTTGATGCTGTGGAGTAAACTGCTTATTGTTTGCATTGAACTTGCATTGAAAACTCATCATGGTGTAATAATCGCTGTGTGCATAAACTTGAATGAGCTACTGTGATAACCATAATTTGTATGCTTTCTTTTTTTAAATTGCTCTCGGCAGGAATGAGAGGGGATGAACATTTGGTAACATATAACAAAACAGGCTTTTAGCTTCTAGGAAGAGATTTACTTTGAACCACTTTTCTTAAAGCCAGCCTCACACAGGTTTATTCAGAAATAATTGCCAGTGTGTTCAAAGGAACTTTCTCCCTATTAAGTGTGCATATTAGAGCAGCTGACATATTTATGGAGATTTATCAAAACTGGAACAGCAACAAACATGATTGAGTAGCAAATGAATGAACATGTTGGAAACCTAGCTCAGAAGACACCTTTCATTTAATATGCATCAGGACCTGGATACTGCTTTTGCCTATTGTTATTTTTTAAAATATGTAAGTAGGGACTGGAGAGACAAAAGATTTAAGATAGACAGCCTTGCAGCCCACATAAAGGTAAGCTAGTTCCTCGTGATAACAAAAAACAACATAACCGTGATGAAATAAAATGTTTCAAGGTTCCTGTTCAGGTTCCATCTTGCTAGCCTTTTCTTTTTCCGAGCAGATTTAATTCTATTCTTGCTCTCTTTACCAATTTTCACTTGCACGTTTTCCCACTCGGTTAGAAATCCAGGTTCACTGGACACTCATCTGTCCAGACTATTTTTCTTCCCACCCAACACACATATTGTATTTTTTTTTTGTAAATATGATCTGTCTTTCTTGTTAGTAACTTGGGGACTGCTGTATAGTTAGAATGTCATATGTAGTAAATTATACAACTGAAGGCATTAATTTGTTCATGGAATTTTCCATCACATGGATTACACTCTACTTTTAAGCAAATGCTTGAAGGTTTGTTAGTTTACCATCCTACATGTACAAGATGAGGTTCTGCTACCCTGGGGGTTGGCTTGCCTAAAAAGGTAAAGGTTTCCCTTGATATAAAGTCTAGTCATGTCTGACTCTGGGGGGTGATGCTCACTTCCATTTCTAAGCCGACGAGCCGGTGTTGTCCGTAGACACCTTCAAGATCATGTGGCTAGTATGACTGCATGGAGTGCTGTTACCTTCCCGCCGAAGCAGTACCTATTGATCTACTCACATTTGCATATTTTCAAACTGCTAGGTTGGCAGAAGCTGGTTCATCATTAGCTTATTTCTGCCCAGCTTATCTTAATTCCTTATTTTGCTGTTGCAGGTAACAGGTAATCAAGCAAGTTCTTGATTATAGAGTAGTTCTACACTAGATCATGAATTTAGTAAACAGCTTCTCAAAGATACCTGCTATTGAAGTAGTGTAAGATTTCATATTTTATTTATTTGTTTATTTAAAAGTTTTATATACCGGCCTTCTCACCTCTCTCGAGGGACTCAGACCAGTTTCTAACCGTAATATCACATACAATCAATAAAACATCATAATTCATATTACAGTAAAACATTAAAACAGCAATTACAATCAATAATTACAATGGTCAATCGTCAGACTAAAATCGTTGCTCATCATCCTCCATCCATATCTCAGGGTGTTGACTCACTCGTCGAATGCCTGTCTCCATAGCCAAGTCTTCACCTGTTTCCTAATTGTCAGGATAGAAGGGGCGGTTCTGATCCCCAGTGGGAGAGAGTTCCAGAGCCGAGGGGCCACCACCGAGAAGGCCCTGTCCCTCGTCCCCACCAGACGGACTTGCGAGGCCGGTGGGACCGAGAGCATATTGTAATATAAGCACACGACCAACTGATTACATTCACAAATAACTGATTCTTTTTGCCAATACAATAATTTAAAGAATTCCATACTGCATCCATTTATTCAGTCTTTGCCTACCTTGTCATATCACAGAAAGTCCAATCAAGAAATGTATAGATGTGTGATACTTACTCTTAGTTTGTGGCTCTGTTTTCTAACCAGTTTGCCATGTTGAATGAAGTGAACAGGACACTGGTTCATTGCATTGTCGGCTTTGTGACGAAGCCAGTCTTCATAGCCCTTAAATGAAAGAGCAAATTAATATTAAGAATTCCAGTGAAAAACAATCCCTTTATCATTTGGCTTATTACACTTGCATAATGTAATTAGAAAAATTGTAGTATGACAGTGTATATTGTGGAAACCTAGGAAAAGTACTTCAGAGAACGTAAGAGGTCCCTTTCTGACTTAATGCAAATTTTTTTACCAGTTCCCATATTTGAAGCTTGATGTCACAGTTATTCTATACAGTGACTTTTATGGCTGAGTGGAGATTCACTTTTTGATGACCCTAGGACAACCTTATCAAGGTATTGCCTAGGACACTGCTTCTTAAACCATGAGTCTCAACCTCAAATGGGGGCCCCTTGACGCAATGTTGGGGTTCTGAAAAATTTGGCAACAGTAAAAGCTTTCTGAACATCACTTAGTGCAGTGGTTCTCAACCTTCTTAATGCTGTGGTCCCTTAATACAGTTCCTCATGTTGTGGTGACCCCACAACTTCTGATATGTCAATATCTGATATGCAAGATCTATTTCCATTCACTGGACCAAATTTGGCATAAACACCCGATACGCCCAAATTTGAATACTGGTGGGATTGAGGGAGAGGGGATTGATTTTGTCATTTGGGAATTGTAGTTGCTGGGATTTATAATACACCTACAATCAAAGAGCATTCTGAATTCCACCAATGGCAGAATTGAACCAAACTTGGCACACAGAACTCCCATGACCAACAAAATACTAAAAGGGTTGGGTGGACATTGGCCTTAAGTTTTGGAATTGTAGTTCACCTGTATTCAGAGAGCACAGTGGACTCAAAACAATGATGGATCTGGACCAAACTTGGCATGAATACTCAAAATATGTGAACACTGGTGGAGTTTTGAGGAAATAGACATTGGCAATTGGGAGTTGTAGTTGCTGAGATTTATAGTTAACCCATAATGAAAGAGCACTCTGAACCCAGCCCACAATGGATCTCCACCAAACTTGACACACTATCTACATGGCCAACACTGAATAGTGTTTGGGTTGGGGGGCTGCTTTTGAATTCTGGGAGTTGCAGTTCACCAACACCAAAAAAGGAAGAGAAGGACAGGCAAAGAGGTCTTCAGCCTTCTCTGCCAAAAGGGTTCCTAAGACCATCAGAAATATGAGTTTTCTAATTGTCTGTGGTGACCCCTTTGAACCCCGCCTCATGACCCCCTAGGGTTCTCAATCCCCAGGTTGAGAAACACTGACTTAATAGCTGTTTAGACATTTACATGAATCTGTTCTGCAGTGTTTACAGTGAACTGCAGAAGACGCTTCAGCTGTACTTCATAAACAGGGGAAAGCTGTTAAGCAAGCTTTGTAACTGTTGATTTGTTATCAATAAATATTTTATTTTTATACCTATTTTATATACTTCTCTACTGGGGTTATATAAAGATTTCTCAGGCTGAAAGGGGTTGCAAGTGGAAAAGTTTAGGAAGCCTTGATCCAAGTAAGATTTGTTCAAATATTTGCCTTTCTCTGAGGCTGAGAGAATAGCGGGGAATGAACAGGGATTTGAACCCTGGTCTCCAACACTAAAACCAATACATCATGCTGGCCTATCATCTAGGTACATATATAAATGTAACTGGGGAAACTTATATTCAAACAGGGGCAACTGAATGATCCACCTCATTGCTTGGATTTCAAAGTACTATACTACTTTTATTCTTTGCTAAAAAAAATAAAGTTTTAAATGGTTTTCATACTGATAGTTTAATACTCTTTCAATCACAACTTCTTATACAATTTTGACCATGCATGTTTTTTATTTGAATTTCTCTTTACTCTGCAAGCTATCCAGAGTCCCAGATAGGATACAAAAGTGATTATACAAGGTAGATTAATTTTTCCACTGCTTCAAGTTGAATGTGATATCTACTGATGTCTGTTCCAAATTCAGCTATAGTATTGCTTCCTTTCAACTTTGAGCAAGTCCAAGAGAAACTGCTCTGAAAACTGAATGTGTTCTCTTTCCCCCGATTCGAATTCCTATTCCATTATATAACCCTCTTATACTATTTATATACTTTAACTTAAAATATTTTACATTCAATTAAACCGGAGATGCATTAAACAAAAATAAGACAGATTCAAAGATTGCCAAAGGAGCAAATACTTCTCAGCCTAAGAGTCAAGGATACCAGGAAGTACATAAGCAAGGGGAAAAAATAATACTTTTTTTAAAGTTGAAAAGCAAGTTTCTTACCTGTTTTATAGCTGTTACAGTGATGACAAAGAAAAGTGGAAGCCCACTGGTCACTGGACTAGTTGGTGTGTCAATGATTAACTAGAAAACAGAGAATTACCAAAATCACTTTTTAAAACTTTATTTTTAAAACTTTTAAAACAAATTGGTAATGATTCATTATCCAGGTGGAGGCCACAAGGGGGCACTAGAGAGAGAAGGATAGTCCATTTTACGGGGGTGGAGGGTGGGTTGAAGGAGGAAAACTATTTCCCCTGTTTTCACTGGTTATTCCCCTTCCCCACTTTCCATGTCATAAACAAGAGTTTTTTCTATGATGGGGACATGGGTGGGGTTGGGAGGAGCAGTACAGCAGACAGTATGATCTTCTCAGAATTGAACAATAAATGCTGAATATTTATCTTTTCAGCATGCATGTCTTTTGCAACACTAAAAGCATGCAGAATCCAATTACTTACTGAAATTGCTTTTAACTTCTGCTGCTGTCATTTGAAGTGTAAAAAAAGTCCATAGATCTTTGCACACTTCACAACATATTGGTTGCACAATTTTCTTGATCATCTCAGTTAATAATGTGAGGTAGTTCACTTTTTCCCCAAAAAAAGTATTTTTAGAAGCAACATTTCACAAAGGAGATAATCAGAAATATCAGGGGGATACTTGTGAGGTAGCCATTTGGAATTTTTTTTTAGTTTCTCAGTTTCCAGAGTGACATATTTTAGGAGTAAAATAAGTGTGAACCAACTGTGGCTGATTGCTTTTGCTCTAAAACATATATGCATTTTCTGAAGTTGAACCAAAACTAGAACTGTAAAGCATACCAGAAAAAGAAGCAATTGAATACATGACTTTATTGTAGGCTTTGGTTAAAATAAGTAGTTGTGCTTATACTCTGGAGGGAATGTGGGGAGGAGGCACATGTTATAAGTTTTTAGAAGGTCAAAAATTGGTGTATGGGTCCTCAACAGAACTTGGGGTCCAACAACAAATGGAGGGTCAGACATTCCCCATCCCTATGCCATATGTTGCGCAAAAGCAAATCAGTTTGTCCATTGAGTGAATATTCAATAAGTAACTGAAAGAAATCATGACTCCCTGGATAAGAAGTCATTTTCCATTGCGGTTCCTAAAATTCCATCTTTTTCTTGTGAGCAGTTTTTCTGGCAAATTTTAGTTGCTTTTTTCTACTGTCCAAATATAACATAAACAAAGACTGGCATGTTTAATTTTAATTGGGCTTTGCAGGCATGTATATCTTTTTTAAAAAATTAGAACAACAAAAAACCCCAAAAAAACTAGGAATGCCTTACCTGTACAAGAAAAATGATGAGAAAATAAAAGTTTGCTATTCTTCGGAACTGCTCAAACAAATTCTTCGGTACAAAATTCCAAAAAGTGTACTAAAAGAAAGAGAAGGTGTATGCTTATATTATAATATGTTATATCTACATATACATATACTTTTTCACCATTTGAACTGAAGGTGAAAATGACTTAAAAGTTATATACAGATCCTAGCAAAAAGAAAGTTATTCTGGGTTGCTGTGAGTTTTCTAGCTTCTGTGGCCATGTTCCAGAAGCATTATCTCCTGACGTTTTGCCCACATCTATGGCAGGTTGGGAGGTCTCACAACCTCTGAGGATGCCTGCCATAGATGTGGGTGAAATGTAAGGAGAGGATGCTTCTGGGACATAGCTATACCTTTGCACTTTAAGAACTCTGAAGACGATTTCTACTGCACTTTTCGAAATTGGGAAGTTTTAGTGAACATACTGTACCTATATTGCTGCTAATCCCTATACCTATACTGCTGCTAATCTATCCATCTTAGCACTTACCTCCACGCCGCACTTTAACTAGTACTGGCTAAATATCAGCAGCACTTTTGTACTTTAGGAACTCTGGGGACGATTATTTACGGCATTTTTCGAAATTGTGAAGCTCTACTGAAGCGTCCTAACAACTATTACCCATGTGCTCCCCCATCCCCTTATATTTACTATTCCTGCTGTTAATTAACTGTGAAAGGGAGAGGGGACAAAGCGGGCTGGAGTTTGCGGGAAACAACAGGACGGGGGGGGGGGGGGGGGGGAGATAAAGGGAACCGAAATGTATGGCGAACTGAGACCTCAACAAATCAAAAAACCAACAATGAAATGCAAACTGAGGTTATGGATATGGAATGCGGCATGGAGGGGGGGAGGGTGTTCCACCAGCCGAGGGCCCCCCATAGAAGTGGTGGTGGGGAAGGGGAGATGCAAGAAAAGGAGACCATTAATTCGGCCTAGGGATCGTGTAGCAACATTAGTAATTCCAAACCGGTCTCCTAACATGGTAAATTGGTGTAACCAGGATGGCGGCCCCTCCGGATTGAAGGTGGTGCTGTTGAACGCCAGATCTGTCAATGGAAAAACAACTTTCATCCACGACCTAATCCTGGATGAACGGGCAGATCTGGCGTGCATCACGGAGACCTGGCTGGACGAGACTGGAGGTGTGAATTTGACCCAGCTCTGCCTGCTAGGTTTTTCCGTACAGCACCAGCCGAGATCCGGAGGGCGGGGAGGTGGGGTTGCAGTGGTCTACAGAGATTCAATCCCTCTGACCAGGGGCCCCATCCCGCAGTCATCAAATTTTGAATGCGTCCACCTGAGGGTGGGTGACCGGGACAGAATAGGGATTCTGTTGGTGTACCGTCCACCTCACTGCACCACAGTCTCCCTGCCTGAGCTAGCGGGGGTGGTCTCGAGCCTGGCATTGGAGTCTCAGCAGCTCATTGTGCTGGGGGACTTCAATGTCCATGCCGAGGCGGCCCTTTCAGGAGCGGCTCAGGACTCCATGTCTGCCATGGCAACCATGGGGCTGTCCCAACAAGTATCTGGCCCCACCCACAGTGCGGGACATACAATGGACTTGGTTTTCTGCTAGGGATGGGAGGAAGGTGGCGGTGTTGAGGAGCTAACCATCTCTCCGTTGCCATAGACCGACCACTTCCTGGTCAGATTTAGGCTCACTGCACCCCCTAACCTCTGCAGAGGTGGAAGACCCATTAAGCTGGTCCGCCCCAGGAGGCTTATGGATCCAGATGGATTCCTGACGGCTCTTGGGGAGTTTCCCGCCGCCTCAGTAGGTGATCCTGTCGATGCTCTGGTCACTTTCTGGAATGGGGCAATTGACACGATCACTCCGGAACGTCCCCTCTCGAGTAGCCGAGCTAAACCAGCTCCTTGGTTAACCGAGGAACTGGCAGCGATGAAGCGAAGGAAGAGGGAACTAGAGAGCGTGTGGCGTTCGGATCCGAACGAGCCAAATCGAACACGGTTTGTGTCCTTTTTAAGGGCATATGCCGCGGCAATAAAGGCCGCGAAGAAAGCCTTCTTCGCGGCCACTATTGCGTCTGCAAAGAACCGTCCGGCTGAGTTGTTCCAAATGTTAGAGGCCTTTTAAATCCCACCACTCAAGGTGGGAACCCTGACAATTTGGCCTCTTGCTGTGAAGCTTTTGCTCAGTTCTTTGCAGACAAAGTCGCTTTGATCTGCTCTGGTCAGGATACCACGTTAAAAGCAGTCTCTGAGGATGTAACACGAGCACCTGCTTGTCCTATTTTGATGGATTCTTTTCAATTGGTGAAACCCGAGGATGTGGACAAGATACTTGGAGGAATGAGGCCTACCACGTCCATCCTAGACCCCTGCCCATCCTGGCTTCTAAAGGAGGCCAGAGGGGGATTGGCTGAGTGGGTGGAGGTGGTGGTGAATGCCTCCCTTCAGGAAGGCAAGATTCCAGCGAGCTTAAAACAAGCTATAATAAAACCGCTGTTGAAAAAATCATCACTGGACCCCACTAAATTTGACAACTTTCGGCCAGTGCCCAATCTCCCCTTTATGGGCAAAGTCCTGGAACACGTGGTGGCCTCTCAACTCCAGGTATTCTTGGTCGACATGGATTATCTGGATTCGGCACAGTCTGGTTTCAGACCGGGACATGGTACCGAGACAGCCTTGGTCGCCTTAGTGGATGACCTGCGCCGGGAGCTCGACAGGAGGAGTGTGTCCCTGTTGGTGCTGCTGGACCTCTCAGCGGCCTTCGATACCGTCGACCATGGTATCCTTCTGGAATGCCTTGTGGGGATGGGACTTGGGGGCACTGTTTTACAGTGGCTCCGGTCATTCCTAGCGGGCTGATCCCAGAAGGTGTTGCTGGGTGACACCTGTTCAACCCCACAACCGTTGTCTTGTGGGGTTCCACAGGGTTCAATTCTGTCTCCCATGTTGTTTAACATCTACATGAAGCCGCTGGGAGAGATCATCCGGAGTTTCGGGGTACGGTGTCATCTGTACGCAGATGATGTCCAACTCTGTCACTCCTTTCCACCTGCTACTAAGGAGGCTGTTGAAGTCCTGAACCGGTGCTTGGCCGCTGTAACGGTCTGGATGAGGGCGAACAAATTGAAATTGAATCCAGACAAGACAGAGGTACTCCTGGTCAGTCGCAAAGCCGAACAGGGCATAGGGTTAAAGCCTGTGTTGGACGGGGTCACACTCCCACTGAAGACGCAGGTTCGCAGCTTGGGAGTGATCCTGGACTCATCGCTGAGCCTGGAACCCCAGGTCTCGGCGGTGCTCAGGGGAGCTTTTGCACAATTAAAAATTGTGCGCCAGCTGCACCCATATCTTGGGAGGTCTGACTTGGCCATGGTGGTCCATGCTCTGGTTACATCATGAATAGAGTGCTGCAGTGCATTCTACATGGGGTTGCCTTTGAAGACAGCTCGGAAGCTTCAACTAGTCCAACGCTCGGCAGCCATGATTCTAACAGGAGCAGAATGCAGGGAGCATACAACCCCCTGTTGCGCCAAGTCCACTGGCTACAGATTTGCTACCGGGCTCAATTCAAAGTGCTGGCATTGACCTTTTAAGCCCTAAACGGTTCTGGCCCAAGCTACCTATCCGACCGCATCTCGGCCTATGAGCCCACCAGGACTTTGAGATCTTCCGGGGAGGCCCTGCTCTCGATCCCGCCAGCTTCACAAGCACGGCTGCCGGGGACGAGAGATAGGGCCTTCTCGGTGGTGGCTCCCCGCCTGTGGAACGCCCTTCCCACAGACATCAGATTCGCACCATCTCTAATGGTATTCCGCAAGAAAGTAAAGACCTGGTTATTTGTGCAGGCGTTCGAATAATTTTAGTGCAATGATTGGTAATGACATAGGAATGGAACAATGGATGACGAATCTGGATCATGTTTTTAGTGATGAGACTCTAGTGAATGGTTATTATAGTAATTGTGTACTAACTGTGCATTAGATTAGGCTGTTAATGGTTTTTTATATTGATGCATTGAATTTTGCTGTTTCCGTATGTTGTGAACCGCTGTGAGTCGCCCCTGGGCTGAGAACAGTGGTATAGAAGCAAATAAATAAATAAATAAATAAATATACAACCTGGAAAACTCACAGCAATCCAGTGATTCCGCCACAAAGTTATTCTGCCTCTTATTTTAATTTGCAAAGGGCTCCATGATTAAATTTACACATGTCTTATTTTTGGCTATGAACACACATGTTTGTGGCTATGAACACACAATAAATATTAAAAACATTATGAATACATATAAATTTAACATATTGAGGCAAGTAGTTGGCATTACTGAGCAACTCTGCATATCAAATACCACCTTTTTGCAAGGAATTGTGTTCCCTTTCCTGAGTTAGGCTGTGCCAATCATTTTAGGAACTTGGGATAAGGAACTGGGAAGAATTTTGTGGAGAAGTGTTGAAAGGTAAACTTCACCAAATTTGAACAGCTCATTCAAGTGACACGAAGGCCTGTTGTGGACCTAAAATTAACCACATCGGCCTTGGGATCAGGCAAATAATGACACAAATTGACAATTGGATGGAGGACATGTGTTTGGAGAAAAGAATGTTGTAACTTTCACATAATTGAGAAAAGATCCCTACTATCTTATCGGTGAGGCAAGGCTGGCCTGAGGCAGAGGAGCAATTCATTGTTTCCAAAGTCAGTCCAGAGTTATTTAGCCAATGGTGGCAGAAAATCTCTTAAGCATCTCTCCCATCTCCAAACCTAAAAATAACTAAAGAGGCAACTGTTCGTTGCACTTTCAGAAAACCAAAAGCTTCTGCCTGAGGGAGGTTTTCTATAGTAATGGTCAGACTGGCTCAGTTGAGACAACAGGAGGAGTGGGCTGGCAATTCCTTTGTGGAAATGTATCTCTATGACAGAACTTTCCAAACATTTCATGTTGGCACACTTTCACTTTTTAGAAATGCATCATTTTGCAACACAGTAATCCAGTTTTGTTCACAAACCAGAGGCTAAACCAATCCTTTATAAGACATACAGACACATACATCAATTGTAATAATGAAATCCATGGGGACACAATATATCTCATGAGAATCTTTGATTTGTAAGATAATAACATACAGTCCTAACTGTAAAGGAATAGGTTACTGGCCTGGGATATTACATTCCTTCATAAATATTGTGCCATCACCAATGAAAGATGGTGGTTCTTATACCAGTTGGTCAGTGAATCCTCTTTGGGCTTTAACCCAAATTTTACAAGAGTGGTTCAAGTAATGGACCTTGTTCCCAAAATATATTCAGCACCCAGAGAAGCTCTGCTGCTCAAGGTGGCATTTCATTCACCCTCCATCACTGCGTTTTCCTTCTCCCTGGCTCTGCATTCAGTTTTCAGGAGCAACAAAAACTGCTTCACCAGCAGTTCAAGAGTTTATAATGCAGTGACATCTGTCAATATCACAGGGAACACATGCAACAAAATCCCCCAAAACTGTTATTAATATTCCATCTAAAGCTAGTTGGCATCACTGGCATGCCTCTAAGCAAGAGAGATATAATCCGACCTGCAAGTGACATTTTCACTAAATGTAAAACCAGTAACACAATCAGACAGCTCTTCTGGCATAATGCTCTGACACATGCAAGCAAAGAAAAGTGCTGATATCAATTTTCTTAGCTAAAACCCCAAAGTGCTTTCAGATTTGGTTAACAAGATATAATATTATATTTGGGAATGATAAATGAATAAACAGTAAAGATTACTGAGTTCATTGCAATGAGCACTCATGGGCCAATAGTATTTTGAAGGGGGATTGGCCATGCAGAAAGAAAAAACCATTTGATTCTTAATGGTCTATTGGCTTGGAAATTTCTGTCTTTACTCTATCTAATAGCTTTGCTTCTGGAAGTTTGGGAATCAAAAATAGAATAAAAACAGAGAATAATAATTGTTAAACATCATTCAAAATAATATATTTTGAAAACATGGTTGAACATTTTAATTAAATGGGGGTAAAAACTAATTTCACATAATTTTCAGGTTGGACTTTCACAGCAGGACGGGTCTGAAGCAGAGGGAGCTATGGGCCTGGCCTTTGCCATGGTGCAGCACTAATCAGATCATTGCCTGCTAGAAAAGGAAAGAGATGGTAGAACATTCCAGCCAGGCCACATGACTAGAGGAGTCTATGGGGTCCTAATTAGCTGTATATAAATGGCTTTTAGGATTAGATGCTCATTCCACCAATATTTTAAAGAGCAAATATATTTGCTTCTATGCTATCCCTTGCGTATAATTTTTAATCTATAATTTTTGGTTACAAAATTGCCTCTGGTCCCTCTGGTCCCACTGATTTCTCTTTCTTTCTCTGGATCTTGATTTATGCATGTCTATTTGACTACCCGCCTATATCTTCTCATCCTAATTCACTTCTCATCCTAATGTCACTTAGTCTGAAGGTTCAGATTAGACCAAAATAAGTGAATTAGGATGAGAAGATATAGGCGGGTAGTCAACTAGACATGCATAAATCAAGATCCAAAGTGACATTCAGGGCCTTAGCAATGGGAGAAGAATGTTAACCTGAAGCAATCCATCTTGTCCTTTAGTGACAATCACCACAGACAGTCAAAATTGTTATTTTGGTCCCTTCGATATTATTATAGGAACAGTGCAATGTTCTGTTCATATCTGTTTTTATAAAATCTATTATGCTATATAGCAACAACATGATAGGGCCCTTCCAGGCAGGCCCTATATCACAGGATCTGATCCCAGGTTTTCTGTTTATCCCAGATTATCTGGCAGTGCAGACTCATATAATCCTGTTTAAACCAGAAAACCTGGGATCAGATCTTGGGATAAAGGGCCTGTCTGGAACGGCCCTTAGTTTACCTTTGTACAGACCAGAAGCAATTTGACAATTACAGAAAGCAATGTTTTTAAAATCATAATTTCTTTATAATCACATCTGCTGTTAAACAAGGTAGCTCAGGAAGTGGTGGGGATAAATAGAACCACTGCTAAAAACAAAAAGTAGAGAGTGATGTTGACAGTATTAGGTGAATTGTGCTACAAAGCTAGAGAAAGAGCGCGCAAACATACATTACCTTTGAGGAAACTATTCTGTTATCTGGATAACGCTGTGGAATGTATGCCTCAGCACCTGGGGGAGGTTCGCGATGGCCAACATAAATAGTTCGATTGTCCACCCAATTCTCTTCTCCAGTACACTGTGAAAGAAAGAATGTGTCATTTTAGTTCAACCAGTAGTTCTGCATAGAAATGAGTCAAGCAGTGAATTGGGTAGCCCTGTCTCTCAGCATTACTTGATCCTTCATTCTCATACAGCTGTCAAAATCCTGTCCCCCAAGTCCCTGCCTATCTACTCCTGAGGAACACTGAGATGACACATATGAATGAGTTGTCAAAATCCTGCCTCTAATTGCCTTCAATAAGTCCTTCCCCTACAGCAATAAAGGCGAGCTCACACAATTCAGATCTTCTCTTCTTAAAGATGGGATTTACATTTTGTCCTCACATTATTTTAGGAAAAGGAGAAGAAAAAGAAACGCATAGACCATCTCTCGGAATACTGAGTGTAATCCAAACAGGCCTGTAAAAAAACCTGCCAAAATTGCATGTGCGAGTTTCCCTCTTCTTCTTCACAGCCAGGAATTGGGGTCCACTTCTGAAGTTTCTCCAAGTTTTGGAGGTATGTGAAGGAACTAGACTATTTTATTAAAAAGAAAATGACCAAGAATCCTTGGTCTTTTGGGGGTAGTGAGCATATCTATTTATTTGTTCAAAATACGTATAAGTTTCCTCTTAAGGCAAGTTACAAGCAATAATTAGAACAATATGCATAATCTTTTGTGAATTGAGATACCTTGAAAATATATGTAACATAAATTGCCAAATATGTCAGTTAGCATGTCTAGTGATAGCATGCTGAGAAAACTGACAACAATATTAAGACAGCATTATACACACAATTCCCTACAAAAGAGTAGCAGAATATAGAATATGTAGGAATTACGTGTCTCATAAGAAGCCTGGAGAGTTCAGCTGAAATCTCTAGATGTACATTCTGATAACAGGGTGAAATGAAGTTAGATCAAAATCTTTCCTGTGTGAGGATCCCGTAATTCACTCTGCTAGACACAGATGGACTTGATAAGTTGGAGACTCACCGGACACACTCCCCCTCCTGCCCTATTGGCATCAGCACTTGCCTTGTACATGGTGGGTATGAGACAAAGAGCTCCTACTGATAAGAATTAAATAAAGGAAATGTGTAAGGCAGAGGATACAGACCATAATGTGAAATTGCCTGATTGTCTTTTAACCAATTCAGCCTGACAATGAATGGGCAATACCCCAAAAGGGTGGCAGGGAAATGTGAAACTATAAAAGCAAATGCACTGCCACTGCTCAAGGTCCCTCCATTTTTGGGGCACCACTAGAGCTCCAGTTCTCTGCATTTTTCTATCTAATTTTAGTTTTCAAACTAAAGTTTTCTTTCTGAGAACAAGAAATGCCTGGTTACTTTTCTGGCCATCTCTCTAGAGCTGCACCTTTTAAGAGACTGGGGTGACACCTGGATTCCAGACAGAGGGAATCCAAGTAGTGTTATTATGATGAGGGAAGAAAGTTTGAAATGCACATACAGCCTTACCACAGACCCAAACCCTATTATTTGAATATTAAAGGGTGATAATGCGTAGTTATGACTGAAAAGGTAGCCATAACTACCTTTTCAGGACCTGTACACAATCAGCCAGCCCAAAGCCCCAATTTACCACTAAAAGTAAAAACTACCTAGCCATAAGTTCCCTCCTCATGCCCTCCTGGCATGAGGAAATGATGTGCCAGGAATGGGGGATGAGGAGGAAAATCCATTCTCCCTCTGTCTCCTGGCATATCATTCCTCATGCCCTCCTGGCGCAAGGAGGGAACATTTTCAGGCTTGGGGGAGGGGGTGGGCTCTGTCCCAAACCTTTGGGCTCCAGGAGCCCAAAAGCTACAAGATGGCAATGGGGACTCACCCCCCCGGGTAGTCCCAGGACTACCCAGTAGTGATTCCCCACAAACCCAATACCCCGTAGGGTATCTAATTAATTCAGATGGATGCATCATTTGGACACATCCGGTAAAACCGAGACAGGTCTCAGAATATGGGCCTGTCTGGATGGGCCAGTCTGAAGCTTGCTTTTCTTGGACTTGGCTCTTCACTTGGAACTTTCCATGGGTCTGTAACTACCAGCCTGCCTTACTCTGTAGGTTCCTGCTGCTGCCAGAAGAAAGCTCTGTGTTTGAGCTGTGTGGAGAATTGGAAGGAGTCAGATCCTGTCAAATTCCCAATAATGTCAAAGGGGCAGACCAGAATATGAACAAGGCATAAAACTGGGCTCAGAAGCAATGAAGCTTCTGGTTAAGGAACTTGTTTAGAGAAATGTCATTGATTAACAAGGTCCAATTCTGATTAGAGCCTAGGGGTGAGAACTGAAGCCAACCATCATGCGTGGCTACAAAGAAAATAATAAAGAGGATTATACATGTCCATTCTAAAACGTTCACCCACAACCAGAACTTGAAAACCTGGCTTTTCCGATGTGCCTTTCCAGATTAGGAAATCTCCACTACCAAGTCCCATAATCACTTTACCAGAACCAATGACTGCTGCACATCGCACATCACATTTGCCCTAGAAGCCCTTTTTACACCTCCTGTCACATCAGCACTTTTAATCCTTGTACCCACCTTTTGGCCCAGCCCAGTTTTATTGTGTTTTAGTGTATTGTGCCTGTTGTTTACTTTGCTTTATTCTGTTTTTAATTGTTTGATTTGCTTAGATTGTATTGTTGTATTGTGTGTTGAGGCCTCGGCCTGTGTAAGCCGCATCGAATCCTTCGGGAGATGCTAGCGGGGTACAAATAAAGTTTAATAATAATAATAATAACCCCACATTCCCCACATTTAATAATATAAAGAATTCAATAAAACATTCAACATGTATGTGTGCAGCCACATTCAATGAACTAGACACAGTACACATTTTACATTACAGCCTTGTTCAAAAAAAAGTAATGATTTTATAATTACCTAATTAGCAGATTTTATTATAACATAGAGCCACTGTAGTGTAGTGGTTTGAGTATTGGGCCACAACTTTGAAGATCAAGATTTGATTCCCTACTTGGACATAGAAACCCTTTGAGTGATCTTGGGTGGATCACACATTCTCAGCCCCAAAACCTCCCATGGTAGATTCATATGTTGAAAATGACCAACGTAGGTTGATATTCTGTATTCCAGTTATGGATTTATAACCCAGAGTTACAGATATGTAAACTACTCTATCTAGTCATGATTACTATTGTCACAATTGTAAATAAGGTCACTTCACAGCCAACATCAACAAGAGACCTGTTCAGGTGTCAACTGGGAGCAAAGAGGATGTTTTCAGGTTCCTCTCACCAGCAAGCAAGGCTTTAAAGAAGTCATGCAACAGGAATCCTGATTGTCACAGCCTTGGCCACTGGAGGGATAGGACTAGAAATATCATCCTTTTCATTTCCTGATTTGCAGTTGAACATACCTCCGTCACTTAATGATGCTACTTTGTAATGTCAGTTTAGGTGGTTGGGCCAGAAAACATTACTTGTGTAATGCATACATAATTAAGTAGTGATTGTAGCATACTATTAAATAAGAATAGGGTGTCCATGGATCACTTTCTTTCCAATAACTGTACCATCCTTGATTTTCTTTCCACACCCTTGCTCCCCATCCCCTAAAAAGATTGAGAAAAATAAAGAAATGCAGTGGTCAGTGCAGTGAAGTGTATCCATCGCTTTATATGCTATTACTTAAGCCCATTAACGGTACCTCTAAGAAACCATAAATAAACCTAAGCATTATGAGTTTCTAATATTAACCTAAAGCTCAATGCACCGAAACCCCAGTTTCATTGGCACATCAATGAGAAAGCATTACTAATGCTCTTTTCTCACTTCAGCACTCTCAGCAAATACAAAACCTCCAAACTGGTGAAAGATCCATTAAGCTGTCTTCAATGTGGATATAAAAGGACATCTTCAAGAATCTTATCTCCAAAAGTGAACAGTGATTTGTATATGACTTTGTGTCTTAGTTTAAGGACATGAAAGAGTAATGAACAGAAAACTTTTGAGGCATGACAATATGTGAAATATTGACAAGTAACAGCAAGGCATGATCAGCTTGGTTAAATTTTAGATTTTTTGAAACATAAAGGAAGGAAATAGAATACATTACGCAGACAATATATTCAATTTGCCAATGGTACGTCAAGAGGCAGTCTGTTGGGGAAAAAAGTCCAGAGTCTTGTGATACTTTTAAGCTGAATAATTCATGGCGTATCCCACAAAACAATGCGATTTATTTATCGTGTTAGAAGTGAACTGAAGGTACAGTTGTAATGTATTTAAAAAACACAAACAAAGTAAAAAAAACTGGCATTATACTAAATGTCCTTTGATAGTAGCTGGCCACTTGGAGTGCCTCTGGTGTTGCTATAAGAAAGTCCACCATTGTGCCTGTCTCGTTCCCAGAGTCTAACTCATTGCCTGTGGGAAGCTTAGAAGTCCTTCTACATATGTTCCTCAGCATCATTAGGCTGCCTGCAGTATGTTTAAGGAGAATTCCTCAATTTGCAGCATATGGTCTTTGTGTTGGAAGGAATATATATCAATTATGACTGTTAGCTAATAATATCTTTATCCTCTAAACATTATCCAGTTTATTTTAAAGTCATCCATTATAACCTCTTTTGATAGAATAGTAGTACACAATCTTTGGTCTTTCTGGTGTTTTGTTGTTCCATGAATCCCTGAGTACTGGCAAAGCTGACAAATCTTGTGGGAAATGAAACCCAAAACATCCAAAGGACCAATGGTTGAGAACCACTACAGGAAAGAGAAAAATACACTTTGCACCTGTGCAGTGTGCTTTCCTTTTATTTGTTTTGAATCATCACGAATTTTGCTTTTCTGGAAGACCTGGGTTCCACAATTATGAGAAAGAGTAAAACAGTCTCTTCCCCTCCCCCAACTTTCTTCTCACACCTTGTATTATTTTATACACATTCATCATATTATAAACCACTGAATCTTGGTTTACTACCAAATATTTCCTGCACTAGGTTTTACTATTTGATCTCAGATGCAAAACTATGTTATGGGAATGACAG